AGGGACTGCAAGTTGGGCCTTACAGATTCTTCAACCTTTCGTACATAGACAGCGTTGGAGAGCCTGGACATTGCATCCTGTTAGAACGTCGCATGGGATAAGCATTAAAGGAAGGGTATCCCACATGACTGCTGCATTCAACCAAACGTCACATGTGAACAGCGATCGTACGTGTGGAAAAAAGGCGGCTCAGCTCCACAACGAAAGTGTTCAAATAGATCCCAAGAATCGATACAAAGGCCAGTGTTCGATACCCAACCAGCTCAAGCCCTCAACCAGCCAGGCGTCGAGAGCATAGCTCCAGCCCGTTAAGGCACACATTTTATCAAAGCTGCCCTTCATGTGAGGCCCTAACACCCGCTTCCTGAACACACCGAACGGGCAGAACAGCGCGCCCTCGCAAGCAGGCATCTTCACAGGCCTCTCGTTGTGCAGCGCAAGCACCAAGAACTCATCCTCGTGAACCAGACCCTCCCTAAACCGAGTACCAGCGGGCTTCAATGTCCCCCATCGGAATAGCGCTAGAGCTCTCCCTAATAAATACCTCCAGTGATGTGGCTTCCCCTCCTCCTCTTCGTCATCATCGTCATCATTCCTCCCCGTTCGTCCAACCGTATCGTCCTTTTTCTTCCCTTTGTGTCCTTCATCCAACTCTCCTTTGTTCTCTGCACAGTCGTACAGGACGAGGGCCGTGTTGGCGCCAAACGGTGCGACTACGCTGCCCCGCCAAGCCCTCGGATAGGGAGGCGGGGGGGGGAGGGGCAGTTCCTCCTCCTGAGCCGCTAGCAAAGCGTCTGCAAAGAGGGAGACCGTATGTAAGCAATTTCAAAAGTCGACAATAGAGGAAACGACTTCGTATGTGAAGGATCCAAGTGTCGATTCCAATTGAAACAGACATGCCTGAAAAAGGCAGTGAGTCGTTGGCCACATCGAGAACAAGCGGCCACTTTAGAAAATCCGCACTTCTGCCCTAATTTGACGCAAACTAGAGAAAGAGACTGGCCGACAGGCAATAAAAGTGCCTTAAACGGAGAAGACGGCGTCGAACGCACACGATGGTATGCACCCTATGACAGGCCTTCAGCTACACAGAACGTGACGCCGAGGATGTCATCCTCGAGGTGAACAAGCCGCGACTCAAGCCCACATCGAGCGCACCCCCATCCAACATTGACGATCTCTCACCCTGAGCCTGAACAGCTACCTGCTGATTAAACAACGCGTACTCTGCTGATTTTCTGCCGTCTTCGAACCCGACGCAATATTCAACTCTCACGCTGAACCCCCAGATTATTCCAAAGCCAAAGGGATTTTGGCCGGCTTCGGATGTCACATTCGGGTCACCTTTTGATCCAGTCACAGAGCGGGGGCTCACCTCGATCTGTCTCCTGGAACAGCCCCAGCGTGCAGAGCAGCGGCATAATCGTCTCTGCATGCGCAAAGCGCAGCCGGCCCAATTCAGGGACTTTGGTGCTGCCACCCCGCCAGTCCGCCAGGGCGCCCTCCATGGACTCCAGAATATCCTGCAGCAGAGCCTGCGCCATGCGGTAGTTGATGGGAGCGCCGTAGCCCTTCAGGATGTGCAGCTCGATGTCGTCCGCCCACTCTAGTTGCAGCACCTGCGGCAGCGCGGCGGAGCGAGTCAGTCGTGGCCGTTCCTTGCACTCGTTTTCTGTTCATTCTTCGAGTCTTCCCTTCTGAAGCAAGCGGGGTGAAATGAGAAGTCGATGTCGGAACTGTGAGGAGATCAGAGGTCTTAGAATAAGTTACGCTAGTATTTCTTTCTTAGATGGGTTGCCGGAACAAAGAGAGACACAGGTGCACGAGTGAGTAGGGACATAAGCGAATGGAATATCTAGCTGCGGCATCGTTGTAAACTGAAGCGTCAATCGGACCTGTATGGAGACTGAACTCGGACCCGTTGGTAAGCAATCCCTCCGCAACATGAGGGGCATCCATGTTTAGCTTACGGGCTTGGACTTGGACGAGATCAATCAAAATCGCACCTGATTAGACAAGTTGACAGAAATAGGAAGCCTGACGAAAACTTAACGAATAAAAAATGTGCAGAAGGAAGGAAGAAAGAACGAGAACGACAAATCGTAGGGACATGAAGACGAAAAGACGGGCTTGCACTGGCAATATAAGCATGAGTATGCTTTACTTTAACAAATATTTCCCTGCATTAACTGTCACCGTCATATTCCCTACTCGTTGTTGCTAGACACTTGGCAGCAAATGAAGGCTCCAGAACCGGCTTTTCCCCAATGCACCGTACTGCATGTGCTGACGTTACTGGTGTAAGCTTCTCGTTGCAGGTTGTATACACAACATGGTCTACACCGGAAATGTCTACTGCCTACCCTGACAATGCTTTGATGGACCATTACGTTTGCCTCCTCTTCGAATTGCAGAATGCCCCGAGGATTGACTGTGTCGGCAGGCCCTCACCTCTTCTTTGGTGAACAGTGAGCAGACCTGGTTTGTCGTATTCCGAATTGCCGCTTCCACCTTGCACAGTAGCCAGAGGGCCCCGACATCCTTTGCAGTAAGGTTGAGGCCTGTTCGGGACAGAATATTGGCTCCCGTCGCAGAGTAGACCGGTTCCTGGTTGGACCACACTTCCGGCTTCCGGGCTTTCTTGTGCGCCTGCCAGAGCATATAGCGATGTAGACAAACTAAGGATACGTCAAAGCCCAAACAATTGTAGTTGCTGAACAAGCTTGACAGTCAGACCGTTCCACTTCTGCATGTCAAGATCCGCTTGATCAACAATCCGCGAAAACGTTCTTGGTTCCCCTCTGCCTGCGTCCTTTGATTTGTAGGACTTAAATGGTTCTGTGCATTCCTGGAAAGGCGAATCAACAAGATGAGGTGCAATTTTTGAATGAATAGATCGCAACAACGTAACTCTGGACGGAGGGACTCAATTGACGGTGCTCACCTTGTAAGCTGGACACGTCTTATGGAATCGCAGCCGTCTATCAATATCCTTGGTGTCAGAGATGACTGCAAATGACTGATGCCTGGCTGGGCCCAGAGTTCCGTTTCCCTCTAAAAAGCCGACACCAAATGCCACCGCACTAGCAGAAGCACGTGGGACCTGCCACAGGAAGGCAGCAGGGCGTTGCTTACTAAGGACGACACCTGACAAACGCACTGGTGAGCTGTAATCGACGTTCTCTAGATAAGGTCTTAGCTCAATCAAGGGCTCTGCACTCTTTACTACTGCCCTTAGAAGACGGTTTCAGATGAGGTTGATGGAAACAATGCCAAAGATATGGAGCTGTCATGCATGCAAGTTTAGACACGAAAGCCTATCCAATCAGTGCATAAGAATGAATCCCTTCTTCATCACTGTCGGCGATTCGTCATTAAGGCAACGTCAGCAAGGAAGTGCACAAAGGGCAACAAGTTTGAAGCCTACCTGAGTTCCAAAAATCCGATACCTCTCAGGATGGTAAGTTTGGTCCAGAACGTTCGGCATTCGCTGTTTCCACCGCTTGGCCAGCCCGTACATCTCCTCCTCTCCCCCTGGTACCAAGTATCCAACAGGTTCGTGACCTTCCCAAGGAACGATGTAGTCCCCTATCCAATTTGGGGGACTCCGCAGATTCCCTGACCTGGCTGCCCCCCCACTCGCAGCTGACCCATCCCCAACTGCTACATGCTGCACCTCATGTACCAGACTCTTGGCCGCCGCTTTCAGGTTGAGCACCACCTTCTTAAGCTGCTTCGCTCTCTTCCTTGTAGGGTCTCTGGCTCCATGCCTCGCAAGAAGGTTCAATTGCACAGGTTTGCAAGTCTCGCGAGGTGGCTTTGGAAGAAACTCTGGAAGACTGGCCCCTTGAGCGACCAACGCGTCATTATAGCGTGTGGAAGTAGAAATATGAGAGAGAATAAAAGGGGCCCCTTCCTCAGAATCAAACTCAATATGCGGCACCTCCGCAGCTGAAAGTAGCCCGAGTGGTGAAGCAGCTAAGCAGAGAGTCACGAGCAGGACATGCATCAGGGGCGCCATTAGTTGGAGAACCCCTGCACTAACTTCAATTCAATTTGTGCAGGTTCACATACTGCTTTTCAGCTTTGAAGTCGGCTCTGAAATTTCGGTGGAGTCAGAGCTTTCAAGTTTTAAAACTGGACAATGTAAATTTCCAACTGGAAATTACTTCAAACTGTTGCTGAGCCCTGACAACAAATCACAGGGCGCACCTGTTGACCCTGCCTGTTGAGAGCCATAGTTCTGCATGAGGGCACCATGCAAAATGGCATTTCGAAAGATCACTTGAAATCAAAACACCACGCAGGTTGAAACGCCCTTCACTGCACTGAAGGGAGAATTCTTACAGACTACGTAGCAAGCCTCTAATGTTGTATGGTGGTGGTAAGTCCGACTGCCCTCAATCAAGATAAGTTCAAACACGGTGGTTGCGAGTACACCACCAGGAGCTAAAGTTTTTTGAAAGTAGTGACATGGCACAAACTGTAGCTTTTCGAAATACAGGCGTTCACACCCAATGGGCCACCTTGTGGAAAAAACTCTCCTCGAGCTTTTATAACCACTCCCTCCCGCAAAATGCATTTCTACCAAGCCACCACTACCGCAACCATCCTAGTAATGAAACTATCTTTCCGAAAGGTTTTGTAACCGTCTGCGCAGGCCTTGGGTCTCAAGCGGTTGCTAGTGATGATCCGCCCCTTGCCAGCAAATTCCAATCAACATCAGATTCCCTCAGACTTAGCAACTGGGACGCAATTCAGGCGCCCCAAGAACCTGCTAATACATCTGGGAGGGACAGTGTGTCAGTGGGAATGACGATGGGGGAGCACGAGAGCGACTCGTCCGGGGCCCCATCAACAAGCGGTGGGCATAAGCAGACTGCACCAGTGGATTCCGTGAGGGAAGCAGCAGTTGAGGCGGTGGCACCCAAAGTGGGGACAAAACGCCTTTGTTACTACTGGACCCAGGGAAAATGCGATCAGGCAAGTGGTGCACCTATTGTATCACATTCTGAGAGCGGCTTGAAAACAGCCACTGACTCAGTGCCATTTGGTGCACCTGAACGAGTACTGGGCCCCCGTCTTTGGCAGCTTTTTCCTGCTTTGTAAATCTACTGTCTGTCGAGCTCAAAGCTCCTGCTCTGTGTCGGTGAGACATTGAGTCCTCCCCCGCAGATCAGTTACAGTCAGGAACACCCCACACCTCATTCTGCCGTACCCCTGCCAATCAAAGCCTTCTTGGGAATCTTCGAGACTCCTTATTGCTGAGTCATAGGCCTAGAGTCATCTATCTCGTCTGCAAAGAAGCCCCTCAACATTCCATTCTCGTCAGTGGGGAGTGTTTCACCAAACAGCCAACTGTGTGCCGCCGTACAACCTCCAGCCTCTCACTTCTTATTTTTGTGGTCATGGGGCTGAGAGTCCTCATCATCAAGAGTCCCCTAAGTGTCTAGCATATAGATACTAGCTGAGGCGGCGACTGCTGTTGCTCGTGCCAGGGGTGGAATGCAAACCACACGGACCAACATGCCCACAAGTATCCAGAGCTGCCAGTGCGGCCTGCCGATTGGCGGCGGGTGCGGCCCCAGCCGTTTGACAAGTACCTCATCCTGGACCTGGAGGGGCGCGTCGAGATCCTGGAGTTTCCAGTCGTCTTGCTCGACCCCAAGACTCTCAAAGTGCTGGACCGCTTTCATAGGTAGAAGCCGAAGCGAATACTTGGTTACTCATCATTTCTTCATGTTGCCAATTTGGGGTTGTTGTTTCTGAAGGAATGTCGCTGCAAAGCACTGGATACTTAAACGGCCAGGCAGGCGTCTGGCCAGCCTGCATACTCCCTCGCAGGGTGTGCAAGCCCATGTTACAGTGCTTGAATCTTCGTCACCTTTGGCTAGGGGATCCCGGTCCTCCTTGAAGTGCTAGTGAACCTACTTTTCTCTGTGCCTTTCTTGCAGATTTGTTTGCCCCGTCAAAATGTCCGATGAGTACATTACACAATACGTGAAGGGCAAATACGGCCTGATGGGCATTCACCGGTGAGTCTCTCGAGACTCCAATTTGCTGGGGCTTTTCATTTTCTGTGCGTGCGTGAGGGCTGCCTTTAGGTAGGCTTCTGCCTGCAACGCCCACGGCGTTCCTCAGTAACGAATCCCCATGATGTTTCAACTAAACGACCGGGCGATCTTTGACTCTCTCTAGCTCCTGGCTCGCATTTGTTCTCACGTGCAGCGCCCTGCTTGCAGCGTTTGGTTTGACACCGCCATCCCGTTCACCCAAGTCCTGGACGAGTTCGAGGTGTGGCTAGAGGGGCACGGCCTGTGGAGGCCGCCGACGAACGAGAGCGCACAGCAAACGTCGGGGGCAGAGAATGACGGCAGCACGGCAACTTCAGACAAAGACCAGGGACCCGAGGCGGCGAACGAAGCGGCCTCGACGTCAGGCAAGCTGCAAAATGCAGCGTTTGTTACTTGGTGAGTCAAAAATGCAGCGTTTGTTACTTGGTGAGTTTGACCCAGGTCCCCAAGCCTGTCTGTGCGACAAGAATGTTTTCTCTCTGCAGCTCCTCGGTGGATCCAGGGCTTGGTACGCTTTTGCATTTCGTGGCCTGATTTTGAACCGTTTTCGGTTGATATGCTGAATTGACGACGGGCCCTGAGTGTTCACTTGATCCTGCGATCCCGCCTGGTCAAGCGCAAACCATCGATTCCACGAGCTTGTTCCTGTTCCAATCTTCGGACGTTCTTCGCGTAAATGGCACTTTACCCGCCTTACGTATAGTCGATTGACACAATGCTGCTCTCTCCTCTTGCAGTGGTAATTGGGACATCAAGACCAAGATCGCGGAGCAGTGCGTTTCTTCGGAGATCGGCATACCTCCTTACTTTAATGAGTGGATAAACATCAAAGACATCTACGTCAACCACTACAGACGAAACGTGAGTCTCCATCCGTTCTCAGGTTTGGTCCCCGAGCCCATACCCGATTCGGAGGCACACCCTCGTGCTGGTTTCTCAAAGTTGTTTTTTCGGCACGAGTCCTTACAGTCTTCAGATTCAACCGTGAAAGAGCTCGTCGCCGCAACCTTTCACACATCAAGCACCGGGCTACAGCCCTATTTTGGAAGCGGATTCTCGGCATATGTACGTCGGCTGACGACGCGAAGTCACAGCAATTATTGTCCTTGATTTCAAGCTTCGACCTCTTTCGTACCCTTCGTACCTCGCAGCGCCGTAGTCGTAGCGTGGTTCTCCTGCTTGCTTCCGGAGTCTTCACTAAACGCCGACGTTGTCGCGTAGTTTTCCCGCTTGCTTTTGAAGTCCCTTCTGAATACCGACTTCGTTGAATTATCTTCATGCAGGCAAGCGGCATGCGGCCGATGCTGCGGGACCTCCAACTTCCGCTGTGGGGTACGCACCACGTCGGGCTGGATGACGCACACAACATCGCGAGAATCATGCAGCGGATGCTGGTGCAGGGTGCTCGTTTTGTGATCTCGGGCCAGAGGCTGCAGAACGGGGAGATAAAGTTTTTGTTTCGTCGGAGAGCCAAGTAAGATGGTTGAATCATTTCGAGTTGACAAGCTGCAAACCCCACGCGTGTATGACGAAGGTTGGCATGCACATGCGTTGCTGTGTGTCAGGGCGTCGCATGTGAAGCCACATCTCAACATCTCCAAACCAGCGAGCTAAGCTCATACGGCATCTAACGTCAAAGCGATCCGAGTCACAAAGCCCCGGGCAGCCGGGAGCCTGGAACCATGATGAGGGGCCAAAGCGGCACTGACTAATCATATTGGATGGAGAGACTCATATCTGTGTGAGGACACCGCCGGTGGATGTTTGATCCAAATCTGACATTCCGCTTTCGTAAGATCAGGTCAGCTAGAGTTGACCAGCAAGGCCCCCCAAAGAGCCCTTCCTTTCTCATTGGTTTCAAACGCAATATGTATTGTACAATCAAATTACAACAATCAAATATTCAAGATAGTAAACAAAGCCTGTTGAGCAAAAGGATCCAAGATCAGATCGACATGCTTAATTCGGAACATCAATATACGGCTCCGGCGTGCGGGCAATCTTACTTGATAGAGCTCACGATGTTAGTGCCATGTGCTGTTGCAGCGAGTTTGCGAACGGAGCATGCATGAGCAACTTTGGAATTAGCTCCGAGGGCTGATGTATTTGTACAATTTCCGCAATGCAGCTGACGGTGCTGGAGACTCAGATACTCTTCCCACTCCACATGGCGGATTCGTCAAACACAAATTCGCGGGCATGCATTCCTTCTATCCCATCTAATCGCACCTGATGGAGATATACCGCCTGCGCACGTGTTTTGCACACGACTAGGACGACTTGGGGCGAACAACTGCGAGAGCAATACACTCTTTCTGCCCTTCTTTCAATTCAGCCGCATGGCGCATCGCCATGCGCGGCTTGCATAAAAGTACTGACTCCAAAATCCTGTTACGGAGATGCCGAAGGAACATTTCAGAAGCTCGCGAGGTGGACTCCCCCTAAGGTATAGTTTAGTTGCAATGAGAAAGGTTGTCGGTACACACGAAGTTCAGGCTCAGCTCGCTCGCGTGCGTGGCGTGACCTCAGGGTACTATAGGCTAATACCACTTAGATACCGGTAGCATCAGCATCATCAGCACCGTTGGTACAATGTAGACGAGAACTTTGAAAGCCAATTCATACCGTCCGATCTCAAGTTAATAAAATTTCGCACCGTCGATAAATAAAGCCCGCGCGCGCACTGAGGTTGGTAAGCGTTTCCATCGGCCGCCGCCGGCCGGTTCAGAACGCACCCTGGGCCTCAGTCACGATGTCATTGACACACCGTAAAAATCCTCACGCAACAATTCACACTAGATTATAGATACAGTATGGACTAATGTCTGAATGGACATGACTAGGACCTGTGGTATGAATGCAGGTGTGAGAGTCTGGTCGAAATTCTATTAGGTAGTAGAGTGCTCTTGGATCCGCAGTGCCTCAGTCTGCCCTTGCGCCTGAAGGGTTGCAGGATCCTACCCAGTTGCCTAGTTATAAACGGGAGGCAGGACAGCGGTCCAAGAAGAACTTTTCAGGTGTGCAGGACCGCCAAGAGCGTTCTTGGGAGTTCCTGTCTCATCTGCTGGGAGGGGCAGCAGTGCCAGCGGGCTCTTATTGCTGAATGTACTAGCCTTGCCGCAGAGTGACCTGCATTTGAGGGGCCGGAGGAGGGCAGTGGGCAGAGCAAGCCATGGCCTCGCCTGCGGCCAGGGTCGCCATCGATTCCAACATTGAATTGGTGAGAAAGGTCAACAACCCTTGGTCGTCACCTCTTAGAGTGCTGCTGTCATCCTTTCCCATGACTGAGAGCATTCCTGATTACTCTATGCACCGGTTGCTGGGCAGCCTTTGCACAGCCTTGAGTTGCCAGTGTGTGTCATAGCTAGGACGGAGTTTCGCCCGGCCCAAAATGCCGGGGCCGACCTGTGCAGCACAGATCTCAAACATCTGGCATGTACAAGCATCCCCTAGGTACATGGGTGAAGCACTGATGTGCTGCGGGTGTGAAAGCTGAAGTCAAGAAGTTAGTTCATCAAAAGTCGAAAAAGCAAGTATTTTGGTTGTTCTTAAGCAGGATCAGCAGCCTAAGTTTGGGACTTTGAGGTTTGAGCTGCCAAAGAAGTCTCTTTTGCTGAGGTCCTGCTTTTGCTTTCCCTCAGACTCGGAGCCCCTCGGCTCGGAGAAACTATGGCCGATCCCCGTCCATGCGCATCATCAAGAAGCGGTTCCCCGGGGTCTTTGGCATCACCTACCGGAACTGGGGTGAGAAGGTGGTCTCCTTCCTGCTTTTGAAAGTGAGCTGGAAGCTTGCAGTAGCGCCGGTGCTCACAATGACTTAGGAAATTCTCCTGTCAACCAATGCTGAAAGGTGGGTGCGCCCTCGTAAGCAGAGTATGCCCATTCACAGCTCGTTGAAACTGAGCCCACAGCTGAAACACACCCAATCGTGACAGCATTCATCAACCCTCCTAGGGGCTTTACTCATCTCTTCTCACGACTTTGCAGGCTACATTCTGCTCGTCTTCTGCGTCCTGTACAGTGGCTTCTTACTCTATTTCTTGGGCCTCCTCCAAGTTGCTCTCGAAGTGCGAGACGATCGGTACTTGGGTAAGTGCAGGCGTTAAATGAATATGAACGCTGTTTCAAAGACGACTTTCTTACTCTGCTTGCGCTCTTCTGACTTCATCTGAGTTGTGCGCGCAGCGAGGGCTGAACTCCTTCCTAGCTTGTTCTCGTCATGGCAGGCAAGTCCTTGCGTGAGGTGTGTCTTTTAGCTGCAGGAAAGTGATGCGTTTCTAATCCCCATCCAACCTTGCTCTAGCTGCTCACCTTGCCGGCTGCGTCGTTTTGCAGTGCTCCCAAAGACTTTCTATGGGCCGTTTGTGAAGGACGTCTGGCCAGCTTATCCCAAGATCTACACATCGTACCCGAGAGGTTATCAAGTTCCTTGGAATAGCACGCTCTATTAGGCTTCCCAGTTTGACACTTTGTTGCCCCGCCGAGTCCTGTTTGAAAGGCGGGGAAACGACGGTGAGTCGGCCTTGTAGACATCCGCAATAGAACAGTCGAGCTCAAGGAGCTGACACCTCGCACACCTTGTGTGACGCGCACACGAGGGACACTTTGTGTCCATATGGGCCTTCATGCCAATTTTTAGTGACAATGCCAATTACGTGTAGACGGCTGCTCTTGCGTGTTCAGTCACTCTTACTGCACACGCCGCTTAATTCTGGCATGCAGGTTATGCCTGTCATGATCAAAGTCAATTCAAGCATGCATTGCATGTGACTGTAGGATTTGGCATGTAGTGGTGATGGCAGTCGGGTCTCTGAAATCATGGTTGCAGAAGTCCATACGATTCCTGGTAACCAGGGTACTGTTTGAATTTTTGGATGCTTGCGGCTGATGATATCCTAGTCCAAGAGTCATGGGCGCCCGCATACAGCTGGCCACCATCCACCCATGTCACTTTTGTGCAATTCCAGCTCGAGGAAAGAGCAACGTGGCTAGCTCGAGCACTCAGCTATGGCGCCACGGCCGTATAGCTGCAACATCTGGCCTCCACATAAGCAGCTCAGTGAAATGACAAGATAACTCTATGTGCTTCTATAAGCACATATGACGTACGTGAAACAAGGAAGTAGGTGGTCGATCTGCACGGAAAGACGATGTTCTGAACTGCCGTACTCACTGGCTCAAGAGGATGAATATTTTCCACGATCGTTTGCACGGAGAGTGCAGCTACCAATAGCTTGTCTGGTTGCCTTGGCGTGTATCGCAGAGCGAAGTCAAACAGCCGGTCGGAGTTGAGCCTTTGTGGCCAATCGTCCAAAGACATCAAGCTCTCAATGGTGTCCGGCTATGGCTCAGTCCCCTGACTATCCTACGACGGTTTCAGAATCTCGCAATCAGGGAGATCTGAGCCCCCTTTTCCATGCCGCAGGCAGTTGAGGAACAAAATTTTGTGACTTGAGCAGTTTCACAGCCTCCTTCCAACGGTGGCTGGGTTTGAGCGTATTAGGAGGGCTTGCACAAGTTCTCTTCATGCGCAGCTAGACACTTTAGTAGCCCACATAAACGGCCGCATTGACGATGTAGCACTGATCGTTCTTGTCCCCGAGGGCCTCGATGGCGACCCCACTCGAGCACACTAGTCCGCCGTCCTTCACCTCCACGTCAATTATGTCGCCACTGCAACGAAAGCTGGCAAAGTCACAAGAGGGCAACAGGAAAGCAAACAGGAAAAAGTCTGTTGCGGGTTGGCCATTGCACTACGGTCTAGCATGCTGAAGCGATTTTCCATTCTCGGAAAATCGGGTCTGAATCCGCGAGCGTCGGGAAATGCAAGCACGATTTACTGAGGACGTCGTGCGAAACGTGCTCGGTAAAGGCCTCCATATTTTATCGCAGCTAGGCTTAGGCCGTCCAGACCCAGTGCTTGTTGAGCAGATTGACTCAATCCCGCCCAATTTTGGAAAACCTTTGAATGCGAACGACAGAAAAGTGCCTATGCAAAACCATCGGCAAAATGCATAGGCATAATAATGCATATGCAAAACATGAAATCAAGCGTTTTGCATATGCATTCTCTAATTTGTATAGGCAATAATGCCCATACAAAACGCCTGTTTCTGGAAGCCATTTTGTATAGCGAACGATTCATTTGCGTCCCTTGCGTCCCAAAAACATACAAAAGCAACCTATTGCCCTTCGTGCGACGTTCTCCACAAGACTCTCCTAGAAAACAGCGGGCAGGAAGTTGTGGTAATCAAGACAGCATCAAAGATACCCTATCGCCCGATGTTATGAACGGACGGCGTTTTAAATCGTGGTCGATGAGCTGGACAAATCGAAAATCGTCTTCGGACCTTGAAAGTACCGGCAATCCGCGAGTTCAAGCGAACAGTTTCAAGGTTGCTTGAATGCACGCACGAAGTAAAGCAGCACAGCGCCGGACTTATTTGAAGCACTTTGCATTTCAAGAATAGGATCCCTCCTTACTATGGAAAGATGGCCTTCACTTTTGGAATGTCCAGCTCGTGAGCGGCCTCCCGAGGTACGCCCAGGACGACTTTCAACTTCATCTCGCCCCAGCTCACCCCAGGAATCGCACCTATACCAAAAGAAAAGGCGCCGAGGAATGTCAGAAATGTACAATGGCTCTTCGAGTCAGGCAGGCTCTTCATATTCCTTGCTTCCCGCTCCGATTCTCCATAAATCGTTCGAACGGGCTCCAAACGATTGAGGGACGAGAGAAGTGGCCACCCCAAGAGACAACACAAAAACGGACTGATGCTTCATTTGCACTGCATTTTTAAACGTCGCTTCATGAAAAGGTGGTTCGTTGAGAGATATACACAAGGCACAATCGGCGAGCCGATTGTAACCGAACGTTCAACTGGACGTCTTTGTGGTCAGGTTTGTGCTCTACTCTTGCTTCTATGTGAACAAGACAGCAGCCTGAAGCCAGTTGGGAAACATCAAGCATTGCTATCGATATGTACCATACAAGTAGCCTCTCAGACTTAGGAACTGGTGGGCAGAGTCTCCAAGGGCACCGCAGACTGTCCTTGAAGTGGTCTCAAGACAGCGGAGGGTGGTCAAGATCTGTGGCTTTCCTCAGTAGAAGCGGGCTGTCATCATTCTAGAATGGATATGTGTAGGAAGAGCGCAGCAGTCAGGCTCGTCACAAGACAGTAAGTAGTAGGGGTCCAGGAACGGTGCTCCGAACACAAGTTGGTGATTGTCTAAGCTCCCACAAACTGAAAGTTGTCAGCAATCTGACATGGAACTGCTGCTGAGAAATCCATGTTGTCTGCCAACTTTCAAAGGGTAGCAGCATGTCCCACCTGTTCGGAATGCAGGTATGGAGTTTGACGTAATGGCATTCTTGCATGCTTTGACTGCTGCGCTGGTAATATCCTGCCTGCAGAGCAGAGCCGTGACATCATTTGAAGATCGGACACCTCTGTTCGCTAAAGGCACGGAAACTCGTGCTGCCACAAACCTGCTCTTATTGATCAGGGGCCCACTTAGTTTGTCAAGCTGCGAATGCGAGTGTTAGCAACTGTAGCAAACATGTCGCTCATTAGCACTGCGAAAGATGGCAAACCTTGAGGTAATTCTTGTAACTTGCCATCAAGCAGGCACCAAATTGTAGAATTCCCAGACAACCTGGAATTGAGAGCACAAATGAATCATGACTCAATCATGCCGTTAAAAAGCTCAATGGGTGGTACAGAGCACTCTTTGAAGGCTTGCCATGCGGTGGTTTGGCCACCTTCCTAGTCGCACTTATGACACCAATGACTTGAATACCACCAGCGCCATTGTCTGCGGCATCAGCAGCGAAAGTGCATGGCAATGCCACCACCACCCCGAAGCTGCGTCCTACATCATCCTATCCTGCAGCGATTGGCTGCAATCGCAGCCAGGTTGCCTAAAACTATGACAATGCTGCTTCCATTGGGAAGCTGCTGACGCAAACTCTCACCCGTGCTGGTCATAGCCAACTCCCATCTCGACGAACAACACGGTCATGTCCTGCTGACTGCTTGACTTGGCAGCCTCTTCTGCTTCGTTCCCCGACCCTGTGCTTGCCATTGATGTGCTGCAACGACGCCGTGTCAGCTCCAGACACTTGGTCCTAGATTTAGAAGCTGCTAATTGGGGATTATCAACAGCTGTTCGTTTGTTCAAAGAGCGGAGGGAACACGAGTCAAAGCGACAAGCACTTTTGGCTATGAGATGAGCTTTTGCCCTTGCGGGCATAGATTGATGGATCACGCAGTGGAATGCAGCTTTTCCCTGCCTCTGTGAGCAATATGTGCGTTGATTTGCCAGCAGATCACGCTCTGAAGCAAAGCTCTTGGTTGCTGAATGTTGAAGCTGATGCGGGCGGAAGCAAACAGCTGTTGCTGCCATGCCCTCTACTCCCTTCAGGCTTCAGCCCTCTAGATAGGTATTGCCAGCTCGACGCCTTCTGATTCAAACGCTACAAACAAGGCTAAGTCTGGAAATGAACTTGGACGTTGGGAGTGTAGCCTAATAGGCGAAGTCAGACAGACTTCGACTCATTGATGATGGAGCAGCAAAAGCTGGTAGGTACCGTACGCACTTTTGCGAAGATTGGTGACACCAGACGGGAGATGCCGTTGAAAGCCGCGCGCCGGAGCAGACGCTTCCCCGCGGCAGGCGTGAACCGTCAGGGGAACCGGCAATCCTGTTGAAAGTTTGTGTCAAGACGATCCGAGTTTTCTGGGCTGGGCAACGTCACGTGTCCGAGGGCGGGGGATCACCCGTGCTTTTACTGGCATGCATGCCTGCAATATTGATGATGTTCAGGATGTGAACATGTTGCAATCCGCCCATGCATTTGATGGACTAGGAGTCTAGGTAGGTATCCTAGGTCCAGACCGTACTACCGTAGGTGCAAAGCAGACTGAGAGAGCACCAGTTTGACCAGCGAGGACAGCCAAGTGCTGCCAATTTACTGACCACTGGCAGAGTACTACTACTACTACTACTACTAGCTGGGTTGAGGGACGCAGAAGGGCGGCGCTCAGTATCCTGTTGAGGGGAGACTTGAGCCGGTCACGCCTCCTTATGCTGCAAATCACAAGTTGCATCCACATTTCACACCCTACTTTTTGCCATTGAGCTGATTCGGCGTAGTGATACAGGTTTACAACGCAATTGGAGTGATCCAGAGGCCTTTCTAAGAAGCATTTCTATCCAAGGGGCCTGCATTGTCTTGTTCGCAGTCATTCTATCACGAGCAGCCAATTCTCTAAAACCCAAGCCCCGTGTCGCTGCTAAGGAGCGCTTCAGAGCAATTGGAACCCACTGTATCTTTCCCGCCATCAATTACTCAAGTTTTCGCGTGAAGCGAGACATCTTGCAGCCAAAACTCTCCCTCAAGTAGCTTCTTGCCCGCTCACATTCTTGGCCCCTCGCTCCTTCGAAATCCCACCATGTCTTTCTTGCTTGGCTGCCTTGTCATAGCCACTCTTCTGCTGACACTTGGCGGAAGCTCAGCACTGGAGCCAGACGCGGACTCAGGGCCCCATTCTCAACCGGGCCGGAAGGTTCTCCAGGCAGGGCCTGCCCCTGCCCCTGGTCCGTTCCAATTTGGAGCGGTTTTACCCAACAGCGACCCCACATGTGACCCCCGATGGGCCTACGAGACGGGGTGCTACAGCGACTACTCCTGCGCCAGCGGCCATATCTGCACCTGCAAGAACGGCGACAAGTGCGCTGACGGCGGCTACTTTGGCATCTTCCTGTGCCCGTGCATCGAAGCTCCAAAGCTGTGAGTCATTTTGTATATCCATATGGAGCAACCCAGGCGTGATAAAGTTGTTGTTGCTAATTTTGTCGCACTGGTTGCCAATTGGTCATGCTGTGAGTGTCAGGAGAGTTTACTTGTAGGGGCTGGCCAGCATTGCACACCCAGCACGTTCCACCTGCCTCAGTTCAGCTTTTTGACTGGACCCTAACTACATTGGGTTGGGAGACTTTGCTTCTCCGTCCAGGTCCGAGTAGCCAGACAAAAGGCATATGTTTCAAGTAAAGGTAGCAGATTCGCTTGTTAATTTCCGGCAGTGACATTCTTCTAGGAACCTCGACAAAGTGAATGCGCTTGCTGTGAGGGAAGACTGCTTGCCATGCTAGAAAGTCCTCCTACAGTGTGCACTTGCTGAACAAAAGTCATTTGAGTCAACCCCATGGCGACAAGTATTACCAGGCCACAAAATGACACTTGCTTTATTTGTACTGCAGTCCTCCTCCCCCTCCTCCCCCGCCTGGCCCCCTGCCCACGAGCCCCTGCGTCAACGCCATCAAACGGAGCTGCCCATCTGCAAGAAATACAACTGACGCGGTAGACAAGTGCACTGCAGTTGGAGGGAAGATACTCCTTATCTCAGCCGGAAGTTACAGCTGCACTTGTTGCACAGGGCGTGGCTCAATCTACGCATTTTCGCCCCCGGCCATTCGGTCGCCCCCGCCTCCCCCATACAAGCAATCCAATCTTGGCTCTTCCATCCAGAAAAGAGTAGCTATCATCATAGGCTGCACGTGGGGAGGGATCGCAGTGATCATAGGCACGATTGTTACCTGCTACTGCTGCTATTGTAAGAAGAGGGCGCCTCGGCTAACGGCCAGGAGAAACGATCTTGAGCAGCCTCCCCTTATCGGCAGACCTACCAGCGCTCCAAAAACGAAGTCTGGGGGGGGGTCCGCAGAGGCTGGGGCCAAGAAGTGGTTCGAGCCGGGGTTCAACGGGTCCACGTTCAAAACCACGGGAGCGGGCGTGTTCTTCAGCAAGTCGATCCCCAAGAACGCACGCTTTGTCGAGATGTTTGCAACATTGTATGGTCAGGACGGCAGTGGAGCAGGCACGAGCAGCGCTACGGGGCCTGCAGCACAACGGACCAAGAGGAACGAAAACCCTCCGGCGTCTGTGAATCATTGGAGCGAATGGGAAGAAAGCCCTCCAACTGCCGAAGGCACTTATTCTTACTCGAGTGGGGCAGCGGATGCGGCCAGGGAGCGTACGGCCAAGGGCAAAGAGCCAGGTAAGCCTGCCCTTCTGAACCTTTCAATGTAATGGTATGCTGCAAGCGCAACTGCCTTAAGATTCCAAGTAGCAGCCTGAACAGTGTGCTCCCCTTTCTACGCATTTTCGGAACTGCGGATTGGGCTGCTGTATGCTTAGTTCCCATCATATTTCTGGAAGATGGTGGATTCCCCTCTAGATACTCAGAACCTGTCGCACTGTCTGGAAAAAGTTCAACTCACTTTTAGTGGTAAATTTCTGGTACCACATACACGGTGCTGCCAAGCCGTTCAGACCGTGTCTGATTCGGAAATCTGCTGTTGCCAACCCTGACACAGAACCTGTCAAGTGCAAAATTTTCAATTATATCTCTGCCCTACTTCGCCGTTGAACTGCCACCGACAATGCATATATACAGGGGTACACATCGACCACTCAAAGGTCGAGTACATGGAATCACCAACTTGTTGTCTCGTAGAATCCTGCTGCTTCTTGGTCTGCCAGAATCCGCAATCGCTGGCCAGTCGTCCACGTTTTACAGAGCCGAACTTCGCCCCCCCGCTCACGTTCTCCTCTTGTCTTGCCCACAGAAGCCCCCTCCACGGACGCCCCCCCCGCCAGCATCGAGGGCCTGCCCGAGGACGAGATCTGCATCGTGTGCTGCAACGCGCCCAAGGAGTGCGTCTTTGTGCCGTGCGGCCACCACGCCACGTGCCTTGCGTGCGGACGCTTGGTGCAGCAGGGCGGCCAGGGCTGCCCCGTCTGCCGGCGGCCCATCGAGCGCGTGCTCAAGATTTACGAGGCGTGAGTGACGGGTGTGAGAGAAGAACTAGGGCGGGTAGAAAGAGCCAGGCTAGATGTGCGAGAGTTCAGAGAGGGGATGCAGGGCGCGTCCCGATTCAAGAAGAGCGCTGGTTGTTAGAGGAGCGGGATCGGACGTCGAAAGGGCCGGTACGTCCGTCAAGGGCGAAAGGCGGGGAGAAGGGCCGGGACATGGGGACGTGTGGTCGTAGGGTTGGGTCGTGCGGATCACCGGATGGCAGTACTTGTCGGAGTTGATATTTCGAGAAACAGACATTGTCGGTATTGAGAGAGGTACTCGCAGCAGGGGCTATTAACAACTGGGCCAGATTAAAGCAGCAAAGAAGAAGTCAAAGGCAGCTCTGCGGCCGTAGCAAAGGGTATTGTTCACTTTTTGGCGGGACTTCTCTCGTGTAAGACTTACAAAGTAGAGGTAGTAGGACAATCTACTATTGAGGATTTTATGGTACAAACTTACGGGTTCGCAAAGCTTCGCGATTGCAAAGCAAAGACTTCCTTCGACTCAGCCTTAGACAGGTGCATCCCTCCAGCAGATTCTTGAGTTGAGGTTCCTCAGCAGCAGTCGGAATTTCAAAGACAAGGTATTGACCAGGTTTGCCGTAACCTTAATTAGCGAGTGATTAGATGGTCAGATGAGGTTGGAGTCAATTCTTGGGGGCTGGACCGTTTTTGAATTGAGCGGCAAGCTGTTAGTCAATCTTTCAGGTGCAGACATTCTTACGCTTTGAATCCCTAAGTCCAAGGTGAGAGGCGATAGGTGCAGGAGGTTAAAAGCAAGCTTAAGTGAACAGTTTCTTGTGCTTGCAGTGTAGATTTAATCAATTTAGTGTTATATTTTGACTTTTGGCTTAACATATGCACGGATCCTTGGGCGTTGATTCAAGAGCCCATGTGCTGGCACCTCTCGAAACCTAGAGCAGAATTGTATCTGTATACGGAGCTAGGAATGTTTGACATCTCGATTCTCAATCCTTCCGTTATTGAGCGTTTAGGTGATCTCTGTGACGCAGCATCGCTTGCATTAGAGTCAGATTGTATAACACCGCTGTACGTAAGTTTGCAAGCTGTGTCTCGTCACATATAACGACCAATAATATGTGATTGTTTCGTGCATGCCAGATTGATTCCGGACTGAGTCAAGGATGAGACGGGCGCGACATGTATATACTTCGATATTGAAGTTCAAGCATGTGTTATATAATATGTGCAGTCCAAATTGCATGATTTCCCATGACCACTTTTGTTGATCCGATCTGCTGTGAAGCTGGTTATGACGGCATATAATGAACGCAGGCCCCTGAATGTGTGGTGGTCTCATTTCGTACTCAATGCCGCAGCCAAATGTGATGAACCCTTAGACATGAATGAACAACTGGCCTGGCAGTGGCCGCCACTCTGTAAGTGCGCAGTAAGTTAAGTGGCGAGCTCGGCGGCATCCATGCACACTCGCTAGTTTCATAGTTTCATACGCATGTACAGTCGGGCGGACGCTTAGCAACAAACTCACTTAGGCCCGGCACACCTCGATGTTGGGTGGTCACAAATGGGTCAGAACATAGCTTTACTGAGGCCCGAAAAGTCACTTCGCAAGCAAGGAACAATGATGAAAGAAAGAGAGCAGCAACTCAGCCAGCCAATGGGGAGGGCTGGACTGGAAAAGCGCGGAAAATGAAAGCAATAACCGTAATTGGCATTTCGTTGACAGATGCCAGTGTCCAGGTTACTTTGTTTTCCTCAGCTTGGCCAGCTCCCGCTTGAGGACGGCACTCCTCTGCAAAGGGGAGCGACAAAACCACAGTCAGCGATGCCAGTCTCCCCCATGAATGGAAAGCGTAAAGATTGCACTTGATGCCAAACGGGCTGACGGATGCGTTTGTGCCCAAGCTGCAGCAAGATTCTCCCACATGCGACGAATGTTTGATAGTGACACTTCCAGCCCAGGTCTGCGAATTGAGCCCAAGCCCGACCAGTTGACTTCCAACGCGGGTTTCCACCGGATCAATACCAGACTCACGTTTCTTGGGTTATATAAAGAGCAGGGGTCATAGCGGGCTCGATAAGATTCATTCTGCCGTCCAATGCCGTCCAATGAACTCTAGTGAAACCCCACATTAAGAATATACTCCCATTTTTTCCCTTCGCAAAAGCACACCCATGAGGCAGTACCCCAATAACTCTCTGCGGGCACACCCGAGACCAAGCTGCTCTGCATTTGCGGAAGCATTCCCAACACGCGGCGACTCACACTTTACGGAAACAAGACAACCCCACAGTGACAGCGAAAGAGGTCTCAAAGCCCAGGTTTGGCAATTCCCCCTCTTTCAGCGGCTCACCTTGACTCTGGCCACCATGACCTTGAACCTGTCAAAGTCGCCCAGCTTCGCCCGCTTGTCCTGCACCGCCAGCTTCCTGCCCCATGAGCTGGCCGCCCACTTCTTGTGCACCTCTGCAGCCAGCATAAGGGCCCGCGTGAGATCCTTGTCTTGAGCAGACGCACTCGCCTGCTAGACTACCAACCTGGCCCCCTTGCAGTTGCGCTCGTCTGCTAAACTTAGAACCATCCTTTATGCTTGCCAAGTGCCTGGACAACTTGCCGAACTGCTCGAGCTCCTAAAGGAAACAATTTCCCATGGCTGAGCCGACAGGCCAGCAGCATCCCTTGCCCTGTGCCCGATGTGTCGAGCAAACACTGGGCACTTTGCCCAGCTGCTTTTCTTGAAAGACAGCGTCCTAGAACACAACAACAAAGCCAACCTGCACCACCCCCCCCGATTCCATAGTGCACCAAGGCCCAACTAAACAAAGCTGTGTAGGTCACTCCTGCTGAAAGCCAGCACCTTCACTACGGTCCAAAGCAACAAGTACACTGACCTGATAGAAGCCTGTCAGCCAGTAAATCACATGAACCAATTTCACATAGTAAATAAACACGAAGCAGACTTGTCGAAGCAGACAACTTACCGCCCGCCTCAATGGCCTCCTTGAGCTCCTTCTTCCTTGCAAGTCTCCGGATCTCAATTGTGATGTCGGTCAGCGTAAGCCTCTTGAAGTTGATCACAGTGCGCACCATGTCAGGAGAGTCAACAAGGGCCTGCATATAGAGAAGAAGCCCGTCAGAATGCTCGCTTCAGAAATAGGTGGTATTACACGGGAAAGACTCCTTCAAGTTTCCTCGCACTGTTTTTAGAGTGGACGCCTTAAGTGACATCCCACGGCAGGACACTCCGTAGAAGATACAAGCAATCTGACAAAACAGGCTGACACCGCGGCCTTGTCGATCGCCAATAAGGGTCTTGCTGCTCGGATGTGTGCAGGAACTAGCTGTGCCCCCCAGGTCTCCCAAGCTTTGTGTCTCAGAGGTGCCAATTTGTTGTTCGTGCTGGCGTGGCATGCTCAATCAAGCCCGTTGACTAGACTGCAACTTTCACGAGAGCGCACGAGTCCCAAATCTCCTTTTAAAACTATTACTGCTTCTCCAGATGCCAAGAATCCCCTTTGCTTTCCACAAGCTCCGATGCACTTTCATAAGGCTCAGCAGCAACCTTGGTTGGAAGCCTTCCTCAGCTCAACATGTGGCAGTCCCAAGAAAAGAGAATGTTCACTAAGATCTACTTGCCCGTAATTGAGCCCGTGATTTGATTTGCAGGACTGTCTAATGGCCAGGGCATGTCCTTTTTGCCAGTTGCTCTTCTTGCGTCACCTCATCAACTTTTCAAGAGCCGCGTGCTGGACCAAAGGCGCCATCATAGAGCTGCCCTCTGTAGGATGCACACCACATTCCCTCCACTGCTCAGGTAACCATTACCACGTATCTTCATGTAGCAGAATATTCCAATAACCATTCTCAACAGATGCCTGCCAGCCAAAGCACATCCTTTACCATGCCGCCTTTCCTGGGAAATTGCTGCCTCTTCCTCTTCTTCACTCATTCCAGCCTGCTCATACCGGTCACAACTTGCACCCCAAAAGGCATGCATCACCAGAATATTGCCTCACCCTGTTGTGATCGACCACGTCGGTGATGACGACCAGCTTGCCGTAGTTCTCACCATAGTTGATGAGAGCCACCCGGCCAATCTCCACAAACCGCCTGAAAACCTACACAGAAGAATGCCACGGACCATTTGTTCTCTTTACGAGCAATACAGTCCAGGATCAAGCTGATGAGAAGACTCCAACCGTCGAACTCAAATGAAAATGTGCTCGACCTTTTTACAACAAGAGAGGCGGTCGAACTACGGTAGCCAACAGCTTAGCCCTCCGGTCGTATATCACCGTGAAGAGTAGGACAGCCCCTGCACCAAGGGCATGTCTCTCAGCCGTGGGCGAAAAACTCACCATGGTGGCGGCCCTGCGTTTTCGCCCGTGTCAAACAAGAGGGCAGAAGAGGAGGAAGCAAGCTCGCGGGCGGAGAGATGTCTCCTCCGAGGTTCCTCGGAAAGTCATCCCGCATACGGTCACATTTCAGCAGCAGAGAAGTTCGAGAAGGTTAAGATTGACCACTATCAAGTCGGATAACCGGCAATACGAGTCTTTAAACCATAAATATTAGTAGTAACCATCCCCGCGGTCTTCGGAACGTAGGGTTATATTTAGAACCCTTTGTACGACGTGACATGCTGACCTCATCACGTGGAAACGAGTAACCTGTCATCTCGTTCGTCTGCAAGGACCGATGACGTGATCGGACGGTCAGGAGTTCCTATCAGTGCCCCGTGCTTGTCCTCAGAAAGAGGACGCTTACCGGACAAGCAAGGAGGGCGTGATGATGGCCAAGGTTGGACGCCATTTCCAGCACACCCGTCTCTCATTCGTTCCAAACGTGGGCATCATGGCTCACATGTTCTTTGCCTTCGATCAGAGAACATGGCGGGCGTCAAGCGCCTCCAACAAGCTGAATAATTTGCCATGTTCGGCTTCTGCTCATACTGAGTTCACTTGGCTTTCTGCAAACCTGTCCTATTGCATCAGGCTCGTCTATCCAGCATCTTCTGATAGACGAACAGTTTTATACTCTGCCGAGAAATGTTATTCTGACATCGTTGGCAGCAGTGGTCTTCGACCTGCATTGTCCGAGCAAATTTCGAAAGCAAAGAATGGAGCCCGGCAATTCCTCGGTCCAGACTCCCGCTTTCCAACTCCTTCGAGCAACTGAAGGCAAGTGCATTGCGTTGCTGGCATATCCAAAGACCCTGTGCCACCACCAAGTGTGGAGACTTCTTGGAGCATCAAACCCATTATTGTTGCAGCCTGCAAGGAACTTCTGAAAATGTTGGAAGCATGCATGTCTCGTGCGGGACTGAGCTCTGCTCAAAATGTTAAGCGAATTTTCAGACAATCAATCTGGTTTGGGCTAGTTGGTTCAGATACTGGCTGTTTAGGAAGGCTGCACATCCTGGCTTTGTCCATAAGAAGGTTGCTCATGCTGGTCAAGTGATCCAGACCTGTAATGTGACATGGGGTTTCTCCCATTCCTGATCAAACCTTAGTTTGCATTGCACCACCACTCCACCGCATTGTCAGTGTTTCATGAGGTTCACAATGCCTCCCTCCCCTACATTGCAGTTCCACCTGAAGTCACCTTCGACAGCGGCCTCCAGTTTGGCGCCGACACCCTCCAGGCCCCAGCACCCCCGGGCTTCATAGCCGAGTCCAGCTACTTGAAGAGGCCGGTTGGCGATACTGCTCTGCGCAGAGGCCAAGGAATGGAGCTCTGCCAGCTGCTGGAAGGGACTTGGCCAGGCGTTGCTACTGAGAATGTCCCAATTGTGCCTCTGGGTCTGGATGCGCTGCGGAGTGCATTCACCTTCCGAAGTGAAGAGCCAGTCGAGCTGGCGCAGGTCAGTCAGGGCTGCTGAGGTCCTGCCAGCAAGTGGCTAGTTTCGTATTTCCACGTGCACTGGACGAGCAGAAAGGGAGGGGTCATCATTGCCTACAACATAAATGACCGTTAGCCCCTTCTATTATAACACCGCGTGTGAAATTCTCTGCTGTTTAGGCAGGAATATGAGTGTTGAATTTGATCCCGTAGCTATGCTGCAATAGAACTAACAGAAGGATAGGGGTGTTCCCTTCTTTTGAATGCGATCTTCTTTTCTGGCGCATCTGTGGGTGGTGGATTGATTGGCAGTGTGGTGGATCAAGTCTATGATGCCGGGTGCCGGTGTATTGCTCAAATGTCCCCCGTACAATCTCCACAAGCTTCGAGTGTCAAAACTTACAGGACGGGGCTGGCTAAGAAATGAACGAAGACTTTTCTGTGTTCACAGGAAGATCTTGGCTCCCCAACCTACACCCCACCACTTGTCAAGGAAGTGGACAGAAGCAACGGGAAAAAAGAAGAAGACAAAAAGAAGAAGAAGAAGCACAGCAGCAAGCACAGGGATCGGGAAGGAGAGGAGGGAGACCGCAAGAAGGACAAGAAGAAGGTATGCGGCTTAGTTCTTCGCACGGCTTGCTGTCGACTACAAAGTTTGCACTACATATCTGTGCGTTGGTGGTATCTTGCCATTGGATGCGTGGCCGATTCAATGCGGACACGGGCGACGATGGTGTCATTTGTTTTGCATCATCACCGCGTGTGGATCATGGATTGCGGAGCAAGACTTAAAGTTGATGCCTAAGGCTTGCCGGTTTCCCCTTTGCTACACGCTTCTGAGTACCCCATCAGTTTTAGAAATGTGCAGCGCGTTTACTATTGCTTCCTTTCAATCTGCCGAGAGTAATTTCATTTTTGACCCTTTCACTTACCTAACATCCAGGGCTTGCCCCAACTTAACGCAAATCAACTCCTTCGTGACAAAGAGGGGCTGACAAGAATGTCTAAATCATGGTCCGCTCTTAACAATCCTGTTCCATGCTCTCTAAATGCTTGGATATGCATTCTTGAAGATTCGAAAATTGGAAGATTCGAAGAACACTTTATAGGCGCACCGGAAGGATTCATTTTACTGTTCCCTGACTCAGTGGTCGTCGTTTGTTGCTTGAGCAGAAGCGGAAGCATCGAGAAGGAGAGGAGACAGACGACCGTCACAAAAGTAAAAAGGTAGGGCAATTGCGCAAGTACAGCTGCGGAACCGGCAAGCTCCTTGGTGGCACCGTGGCAATAGCATGCGCTTCAGTTGTTGGTTGGTGCGCTATCGAAGCGATCCTGAAGTGTTGACACAGCCAAACAGGAGTTGCAAGCACTGCAATCTATATTTCGTCCTGCTTTTTCAGTGCTGATGCTTTTCTCTGTGCACCCCTTCAGAGCAAGAAGTCGGAAGGCAAATCATGAAGCACAGAGGGTCGTCGTCCTCTGAGCATTCAGCCGGCCCTTCCAGCCACGCCAAACAGAACGACTCCATCCAGACTGCATTTCCTGTACAACAGCTAACGTGCTCGAACCTTTGATCAAGGTAAACCTCTTGCGTGCTGGTCCTCTTTCAATGCTGCCGGATTTGTCGATTTCAAAAATCGGAAAGCGGTTTCGAAGTGACTCTTTCTTGCTCGAAATATCAAACCAGAGTTCATTCTCAGCCCAGCCAATACACTAGCAAACCACGCGTCAAACAAGGGGTCGATTGAATCTTCTCTGGCACTAATAAATTGCAAATGATCAGGCTTTTGCACGTTATCTTTCTTCTTTCCCTTGATCTCAAATGCCTTCGCGCTATCTGCGAGGATTATGGAAGTACGTCGTTCTGGCAGAACGTCTTTCGAGGATTATGGCAGATCCTGTGCTTGGCGGGTCCAAATAGATTTCACCAGGTGCCACTTCCAGCCTTTGCCCGATGGGTTGAAACTACGTTCGTCTAGTGTTTAAACAGTTTCAAATTCTTTGTCCAAGCTGACTCCCTAATCACAGCTTTTTTTTTAACGGATATTTTCTCACGAACTCAGAAGCATACGAAACGTGCCGGTGGCTCATACTGCAGCACACTTTCCGGGTGGAGCATGGAAAGATACGTCCAGCGGAGATTGGGTTTGACGACTGCTGTTGACTTGGCTTGTTTGAGAAGCTCTCCCTGATCTCATATGATCAGGCAGCAGCGCGTAATACCAAGTCGCTGGATATTGCTGTATACCAAAGTTACTCTTTCTGGGTTCATCTAGCGATAATCCATCTGCACGAGGTTTCTTTCAGATTGTCAGGCTTTCTGGGACGAGCTTTGATGTGTACATTACCGAAGCATAGATGACAGGAGTTTCTCGCTGACTTCGTGAGTGAAGCGTGCAGTCGACTGACCTCGTCCCAAGTTTTGTCCTTCCATTCGCTCTGCAGCGTCTTGAGTGTGCTATCAACCGGTTAGTTTCGGAGTTGTGGATGCGTCCAGATCGCCATATCATGGTTCCACTGCCGGCTTGCAGCTGATAAACATCGGCAGTCAGACCCCGGCCCATCTGCCTCGCCTGCAACGGAGCTGCATGGCGCTTTAGCACGAAGACAATTCAACAGTATTCAACAGGCCTCCGAAGGGTGGGGAACCCGTCAAGATGTGTCTGAGATAATGGAAGGGGGTTTGTGCCGCTTCTTTCGAGGTGCGACTTTGGCAAGCCTCAACCAAGCCTTTGTGGACAGGCGCACACCTCAAGCTGCACGCTTCCTGCTATGGAACATAGTGTAGTACAACTTACATAGCGAGCTTGCGTAGTTGCGAATTCTGTCAATTGCTGATTCCGGGGCGCAACAGAAGGGGGCCTACACTTGCCTTTGTTAGAAATGGCTGGGCTGTCTAAATAAAGAGCGATAGAGGTCCTTCTCGGATGTCAGTGTTGGATCGAGCATGGGCATGTCTTGCAGAGGATCAGCAACTGCCTTTTGTGACTTGTCCGTTGGTGAATGTAAGCTCTTCTGAAGTAATCCCCTCTCCTGCAGGGTTGTGACAGGGACCATGCAGTGTCCTTCAAACGCAATCGTTTCGCAGCTGCTGGAACTCGTGGCCACGTTGGAAATTGCTATGGCGATGTACTACTGACCAGACTCAAACCACACTCAAACCAGGGATTCATCAACAAGCCAACCGAAGGACCTAACTTGATACCTACATGCTTCCTTCAACAATTGTAGCGGTCAGTTCGTAGGCCGGAGCAGATTTAGGGATCATTCCGACAATGAATTGGGGATGCCTTGAGTCCTTTGCCCAAAGGGCCGCTTTGCGTGAACATGACAATGATGTGCGTGATGTAAGGCATGAAAGACCCCCGGCAGAGCAACCGTTTTTAACAAAGCAACCGCGAGAATGTTACGATGTGGACATCCGTGTAACCCAACATTCATTGGACATTGTGCAGTGGCATACTAGCTCGGGCCACATTTCCAAGTTCGGTGTCTCCAACTGTGAATCTCCAAGCCCCGGTCATTATCTGCATCATATTTCTGCACGACTGCCTTCCCGACAAACAGAAGAACGGAAAATTGTTGACACATACGTCTAGTTCGCATTCACATTTGCACCGTGACTCAGTCTAGCAACGCAAGAAGCCAGCCGAAACATGCAAACCACTGGAAAGCATCACTTTTCAGTCGTGCTGTATGCCCAAGTTCGTCACTCAGTGTCGCAAGAGCTAGGAGCCTGTGGACAGTGGCGGCCGCGTGCACGGTGGACTCCGGCCGCGGTGCGCCCAAGCCGGCGCGGCCGATGGCGCGGCGCGCGGCGCCCACTGCACCATATAAAGAGACGCGCGCGCGGCGCGCTAGCTGACAGCTGCCACGGTACTAGACTCTTTAGAGGCCGTGCTTCGAGTTCTTCCTGAAGTTCTGTCATCATCATGCAGTGCTCATGCAATGCAATTCTGATTCAAGAAGTCGAGCAGCACTCACGTTCTTGCCTCTTGATGCGCTCATGCCAATGCCAATGACCACTTTTCTTTTGAGGTGAAAGGATACGTGGAGCCGCAACCTGCGACCACAATGGCTGCTCCATGGCATGTCCAAATGCAGGCCACGCTGCTCCGCAATTGGAGGATCAAGACGCGTGATGGGGGGAGGACGTTGCAGGAAATCTTTCTGCCCGTGAGTGGTACTAATCCGTGCAACACCGATAAAGTAGCCAGGGCACTGCCTCATTTGGTTGCTTTTGTTTGCCCCAATTGAGGTTCATTCTGCATGAGACTTCACCACTTGAAGCGTCTCCTAACCTGTGCTCACTGACTACTTTCTTCCACCAGCCCGCTTTTGTTGCATCATCTGCATCCCTGGTCCTGAGTGTTTGGCAATTCTGCAAGAACACTTCAGGCATGAGTCATGTCTACTTCTTCCTTTAATGTCCTTCCCCAGGAGCCAATGTGGTTCTGGCAAATGCAGAGTTTGTGGCATGTGACATCGGCCAGCTGTCATGGTGACGAGCTGGGGGTGCCATTGTTAAGATGGAACTACAATCCACTGCCTTCACCATTTGCCTACTGTTAAGCTATACTTTTCTGAATGGCAGAGGGGAACGCTTTCCCCCATCTAGTCATTCTCATCAATGCCCCTTATCCTCGGAAGTTCATCCACCTTGCTGGCACTGATCATTTCGACAAGTTCTTGGGTTGATGCTGATCTCTGGGGAGTGTCCCCGGGCCAACATCGAGTCCAAGTCTGGGTTGGAATAGATGGATTGGGAGCTGCCTGGCTATGATGAAATAAGCTTACTTTCTGCGCAGATGTACATATTGCTGCTGCTGGTGTTCATGAAGGTGGTGCAGCCAGTGCTAAATTTGCCCGCGCTCCCCAGCCAGCCAATCACTGACGCTGTGTGCAACAATCTGGACGGGAGTGGCAGTGCATGCTGGGAGCTGGCTGACCGCTCCTATGAAGAGACAGTGGTAGGTGGCAGTAGCCAATTCTGACTCATGCCAGGTCTCCATTCCAACAGAAGTTGAACCAAAAACTTCAAAGTCTTCAAAGGTCCTGGTTGACAGTTGACCGACACTTTAATGGTCATCTGCTGTTAAATGATGGAAGTCTGTATGGTGTACTCTTCTAACATTCCCAGCGCAAGAGTGTCGCCTAGCGGCCAGGGTCTTATGCATCATTAGACTTGTTACATACTCATCGTGGTAGCAACTGAAGAGCGAGAAAATTGTGTTGCATGATGCAGCTCGGCTTTGTTCCTCCGGGGGCGGCGATTCAGACCGTCGTCCAGGGTGCCGCAAACTTTCTGGAAGCCACCTATCCCGGCCTTCCGACGCTGACCGTTAGAGGGTATGCGACGGAAGCCGAGCTCGTCACAGCATATAACCAGAATGCTGGGGTAAGGGCGCTTTTCAATCTAAGCACTGCAAAGACTTTGTTTCGATCCTTGTACTATGAGACCTTTGGCTGTAGATCAGACTCTCAATCATAAGAGCGGCCCGCAAATTGCAATAGACGCAAGACAGACTTGGGTGACAGATCATAAGCCTGACTCAGCCCAGATTAAGGGGGAAGTCAACCTGTTGGGGTTTCCAAAGTTTAGACTTCCAGGCAGGTATCCAATGCAGCCACCAACCACAATACCCATTGCCCTTATGTTTTTGGGCTTCCTATGCAGACGGTCTATGCCGGCCTGGTCTTCAACATACCTGAGCAGGCTACCGCACTGCCATCAGACATTGAGTACACAATCAGGATCAACGGCTCCTACCTTCCTTCTTCAAATGACAACGACTCACCGGTAGACAAGTCCTCATGCCGTGCACCAGATGCAGGCAGCTATCAGTTCCCCACCGCGTGCCCCACACAAAAGTATCTGACGTCAGGTGAGACCCCACCAATCTCTGTGATGCTTTGTCGCAGCATGTCTGATGCTTCGTTGGCCTTGGATTCGCTCATATTAAATTGCATCACCATTCAAAAGTGTCAGGATAGACGGGTTCAAGAGATTGCCGGCCTTCAGAGAAGCCTCTTCTGAAATTCCCCGTTCCTGGTAAAGCCTTCGTAAACTTTATGTGAAGGATCAATAGACAACTAGCGACTCGAAGCTGCTTGGAACGTTCATTCTCTTCGATCGCTGAATTGACCCTCCAGCTCCGTCTAGACGGAGCTCTCTATTGAGTTGATAATCTGGACGAAAGATGTATCCCTGAAAGCTTCGAAGGTTTCCAGAGCCCCTGAAAGTTCATCAGGCCTTCCGTGTGACAGGTCTGCTAGCTCTGGAAGGGGCTGTGGCCCACGCTCTTGCGGCCGCCGAGCTGCCCGAGTCGTGTGGGGCAGCGGGAGCGGGCTTGGGACACATGCACGCACAACAAAGGCCGCTGCCGCCCTATGACAAGGGGTTCGCATCTGTGAGTTTCCGCACTCTGCCTCTGTTCTGACTATCTGCATCAGGGGACCGATCCGACCTTCGAAATTGACGCAAATCAAGGTTTGGAGGTAGGGCACGTGAACGGGACATTGCAAAGCTCTCCATGTCGCAGCTAGCTGCCCGCCTCGCATGCGTCAGATGTCATGGCCGTTTGATCCCAAAAAGCTCTCTGGCTCTCTTATTGTGCTTCCTCCCTATCCAGCGGGTCTAGCGAAGGATGCTGTCGAGTTCAGTTTATGCCAGGGCGATAATGTTCGTCGAGTTCAGATCATGCCACGTGCCGCAGCTTGACCGTGTGATACCTAAGAACGCTGGAATCCAACGGTAGGTACACGGCCTCGGCCAGAGGCTGACCATTCTCCTCGATGGTCTTCCAGGTCCGGTTCCGTTTGTTTGCCGCCATGTACATGGTGTGGGCCCTTGCTCCCGTCCTCCAGAGTGTCGCCAGCGAAATCGTCCACGAAAAGGACGCACTCATCAAGGTGGGGCACAGCAGCCATCGGCTGACATGAGGAACCTGCAAGCTGCAGCCAAAGTCAGATTGTCACTGCTCGACCAAGTAATAAGCAGCCTTCGGAAAGACAAGTCGAACTAGGTTAGAAGCGGCAGTCATTCAGCATTCTCTCGGAGGCAACGTGCATTACGTTTGAAGGGATTGACTACGACAATTGTTGACTGTGTCAGGGTTAGCGTTCTGACCTGGCAGGCCGTCGACTCGAGAAGCGAACTCACCAAGCAGTCTTGACTTCAGCATCAATTCTCACAGGGAGTCATCCAGCCTCCACAGCCATGTTACCTCACCAAGGTGGATCTCATCGGTTCCGTGCATGTTGTCTGCCCAGGATTGCCTGCTGCAAATGGGCCTCATCGAGTCCGTCTACTGGCTAGCCTGGCTGCTCACGTTCGCAGTCACAGCTGCCATCACCACAGCGGTTGTGGTGAGCGAGAAGCTGCCACCCTGACATTGCAGAAGGCTTGCCATCTCTGCCATTTGTTTCGAGTGCTTCCTTTGCTTCTGCAGTTCGTCAAGTATTCTCATCTTCCTCTGATTTCAGTCTCGACTACCAATTGCTGCATCGACGTGAGTAGTAAGACGTGGCACTACATCTGCTTGACCCCCTTCTCCGCCCGGGCAGCCTGCGGTTCAGGCTGTCTCGACCTTTGGATCTCTCTGTTTAGGACGGCTTTCTCGACCATTTTCGGTCCGTATATCCAACCGCCTGTTTCTACCGCCTGCAAGGTGGCCATTGCATGGGCGACCGCCCTATTCGAGGCCTCCAGCGTAGCGCTCATGTTCCTGCTGGTGTATCTCTTCCTGCTCTCCTTGGTCGCCCTCGGCCTCGCCCTCAGCGCGGTCTTTACCAAGGTGAGCTGCGCGGCTGTCTTAGAAAGTTCTCATTTTGAATGCGGCGTTGGGGGAAAAGTCGCTTGGTCACGATCTGTTTGCTTGCCGTCTCGACGGACATTTGTTCCTGCCTTCTTGTAAGCGCATGTCAAAACGACTGACTTTCTCCATCTCTGTCGCTTTTCGAAGCAACCGCTCCGAAGTGTTCATTTGTCACGAAAGTCGAGACAAAGCAGTCTGTGAAGCACAATCAACATGTAAGGGTAACAGAAACCAAGTTTGTCGCTCTTGCGCTCCCCCCAGGCTCGCTCCGCCTCCGCGGCCGGCTTTTTGCTCATGGTGCTCGGCAGCCTGGCTATCTTCCCGATTGACCTCTTCAACCTGCCGTCCGGCGTCTGCGGCATCCTGGCCCTTTTCTCCCCGGTCGCTTTCGTGCTGGCCATTGACACCACTGTGATCGCGGAGGGCAGCGGGGACGGCATTCACGGGGGATTCCTCTTCTCGCGAACGGTGGGGAACGACCCGGGCGATCCGATGCACCCACTCAGCGTGGGCGGGGCGCTCTGCCTCATCGTGACGGACACGATTCTGTACTTGCTTCTGGCCTGGTGAGCGGCAGGCTGGAGACTGCTTGTTTCCCTCTGCATGCTCCCAAGATGCGTACAGCTTGTTCTTTGCTAGTCACGGCGCCTTTTGTCGTGGAGGGCTGATGGCAGTCGAGTTGCACGAAAGATCCGCCCGTTTTTCCGGAATCTCGCTCTTCGAAATGGTTCAGGGATGAACGTCGACATGTTATTGCTAGCCTGCAGCACATGGGGTCGAGAGTTCTCAGATGCATGGTTCCTTGTTCCCTAGATTTGGGAATGTAGTACAAACGAAAGAAAACGAGCAATTCCCACCCATCAAAGCATTTCCGACGATTTTCAGCAACGAGATTTTGGGAAACATCAAGAAAGCGAGAACGCGTCATCAGACAGACCCCAACTGCCTCCGTCCTATGAAAGGATTTACGTTGACCCACAACCAGGTACCTGGACAATGTGTGGCCACACCCGGGGCGGGGAGCCAAGCGGCCCTGGAGCTTCGTGCTGGATCGAGCCTACTGGTCTCCCCCCCCGGAGGGCTACCAGAGGCTGGGCAGCCGGCGCAACACGGAAGGGGGGGTCGTGGAGCTGGAGCAACTAGACGGGGACGACGGGGAGGACGATGCAACCCGTGAGACGCCTAAAACTCTGTTCTTATGTCAGGGTTTGAACGGACCGAGAAGTTCGGACAAACGATCAGCAGTTGGGAAGAGAGCGCTGTGCAAACCTTGCTCTAAGACAAGGTCCTTAGGCTGGTCATGTTTGCCGGCCCGGATTGGGGATTCATATGAGTACGTCGAGCCCCCATGAACATGGCAGCCGGCGCATGCTTCCGGAATGTGCTGTGCTCGAGGAGTGACGGCGGAGTCTACTCTAGTCCACGCCGAACTGTCCTTGGCAAGCGAAACCGCCCCTCCTCCCAAAACACTGAGTGTATAGGTCAACTGTTTTACCACGACCAAGAGAAAGAGCTCGCCCTGAACCTGAAGGCTCATCGCAAGATTCTGAGAAGCGCCCCTTGCGTTCTCCCCAGGGTCCGACCTCCAAATCGCGATCCGAGAGGACAACCCCGACGAAGAGCCCGTCGAACCCTCTCTCGCCGGCAAGGTTGCGATCGTCTTCTCCAATCTCCGGAAAGTATACCCACCTCGCCGGCACGGCCTCATCGGCCGCTCGGTCGCTCTGCTGACGTCATGGTGGCCGTTCGGGCGGGGGCGGGGCGGGGGATACCATCGGCAACGGGACAGCGCAAAGCGAACGAGCAAACCGACGGTCGCGGTCAAGGGCCTGACGATGAGCCTGTACGAGGGGCAGCTCTTTGCGTTCCTGGGTCACACCGGAAGCGGAAAGAGCTCAGTGGCGGGCATGCTGATGGGGCTGGTGCGACCCACGTCGGGGGAGGCGTATGTGTACAGCCACAGGGTATCGCAAGCGGGTGAGATTGACGTGCCCTGCGTGCCGGTGCTTATTAGATTGCTTTGGCGCTTGCTCCTCCTTCTGGATCATAGACATTCAAGGTGGTCGTGCTGTCCGTGTGCACATCTGCTTGGCTTCTCGTGCCCCGTTTGTCGTGCCTCCTGTCTGCCGCCTTCTGTCCCAGACCAATTTGTCGACGAGCAATGGTTGAGTCTGAGCATGTTACCAAAGTTTGAGAAACTCTCCAGCACTATGTTCCGCTGCAATCTGCAAACCGCTTTGTCTTGCCAGAGGGACCATTTCTGGGGCACAAAGAAGCGATGGAGAGAAACGGCAGTACACAAATACGAGTTGCTCGGCATTTGCAGATATGCTATGCTTCCTCTTCGCCCTTTATTCTGACACGCCACAGGCAAACAGCAATTGCCATGCTAACATCCCCCACAACACCTTCTTGTTCAAGTTGTTCAGTGTCCCTTCTTCCCCATGCTGACGTTACCGGCTTTTTTCTGCAGGCCCCGCCCTTCACAGCGGCTCGCTCCTGGGCGTGTGCCCGCAAAGCAACATCCACTCGGGCTTCCTCACCGCCGCCGAACAGCTCGTCTACGTCGCGACCATCAAGGGCGAAAACTCGTCTCTCTCGCACACTGCTCCCGGCCCCGACGGTACGACCGCGCCCGCGCCCAACGTGGACCAGACCGTTCAGTCGCTTTTGGCCGAACTAGGCATGGCTGCAAACGGCGACGACTTGGCCCGTACACTGGACGAGAGTGCGCGTCGGAAGCTGACGGTCGCATTGGCGCTGGTAGGAGACCCGCACGTGGTCGTGCTGGATGAGCCGACGAGGGGCTTGGACGCGATTTCAAGAAGCCAGGTATGCACGAAAGTTCTTATTTGCAAATCATTTAATCAAGGGGCGTTTTCATGGGTCTCCGCGTTGCTATTATCACTGAGTTTTGTTGTGTTTCACTGCATAAATAGGATGCAGACTTGCATCCTTGTGCAGGCGTCGATTCGATCCCTACGGCTGTCCTGACTTTGTGCCGGACAGATACAGTATCATCTCTGATGCTAGTATCCTGACTTGGCTGCTCTGTTCATTGAGTTGGAATAAGAGAATGAGTGGCCTTCGGGGCCCTTTGAAGGGCCCTTGAACACCTGGACTTGCTGATGCCGTCCCAAAATCAGGCGTGCCTGAGATTCATCCTGCTGGTTGCCAGTCGAGCGCACATAACGCACAGCTCCCAATGTATCTCCTATTGATGTCTTAGCTTGCATTGCACCTGTCTCACGGACTTAGTTTAAGAGGTCGCTTCTGGCCGCAACTCTGGATATACGACATCCATACAAAAGAGTCATGTTGAAAGTGCAGACAGATGGTTAATTTGGGGGCAGAGACACAGAGCCTCGTGACAGCACCTCGAGGCAAGCTTCGGGACGTGTTTTGTCCGCGCCATCACAGATGTGAAAGGCGCTCCTGCGGCAATGAGCGGGCGGTCAGTGCTGGTATTGAACGTTGTTTGATGTCACTGAAATTGGTGAGAGGAGGACGTTGTCTATTCTCCATCAAACTGGCTTAGCAGAGAGAAGCAAGCAAAATAAGATGTTTCCACGAAATGAAGACGATAATCGTGCGTGACTAGGTGTGGGAGGCGCTCCTGCGGCGTCGCGCGGGCGGGCAGTGCGTGGTGGTGACTACGGACAGCATGGAGGAGGCGGACGTGCTGGCGGACCGCAAGGCCATCCTCTCGCATGGCGTCGTCAAGTGCTGCGGCTCCAGCCTCTTCCTCAAAAACAAGTTTGGTGAGCCCCGCACTGTGCCCTGGGTGGGAACGGGGGCACAAGCTTGCGAGGCCCCATCTTTCGGGCTCCAACTAAAGCTTGCTCTTCCTGGATTCCTCGTCAACAGCGTTGAACCCCCTGAGCCTCTCGATCAAGAAAAAGGTCGGCAAGGTGGCGGTGCGCTCGAAGTTGCAAGACCGTGAATAGTCTGGGCTTTCCGGTTCGCTTCCCCTCGTACAAAATCGCTGCGCCTTCTCCGTCGGCATGTCCGGCCTTGCTTTTCGATGCTTCTGCAGGCTGGGTCATCTTACACAGCCTCATTGGTTTTCTTCAGCAGAAACCACAAGTATTCGTTAGATTGACTCGCTCTTTAGTCTGGAATCAGGAATCTATCACCCTGCACCCGACACCCCCCGATTCAATGCAATCAATGCGCAGGCACTCTCTTCCATTGGCCACAGTGTGGTACAATACTCCCCCTGTTTCTGCAGGTCTTTCTTATCTACTCCACGTAACAAAGACCGACAGGTTCGACGCCCCCTCCGTTCTGGGTCTGATCCAGTCGTCCCTTCCCGAGGCCATCCCCGTCCCCGGAACCAGGGGGGACCACGCCACTTACCGATTACCCCTCGGAAGGTCCTCGGAAGTTGCTTCTATGATGATGGAACTGACGGAGCGGGCGGAACAAGTGGGCGTGGCGGGGGGCGCGCTCGAGTCCACCACGCTCGAGGAGATCTTCATGCAATTTGCAGGTACGGCAATTGCTGACAGACAGCGATTCGGCCAATAGAGTTGTATTCTTCGTTCCGGTTTTGGTCGTTGAAGGTCGGTGAATACCCGTTTTACTATTGCAGTTGACTCCTCGTGCTGGTCTGGGGTGACTCTGCTTGAGTTCTCCTTCGGGCAAGGAGCACCGCGGGATGGCAGACCTCTGCGTCTGAAGAACAGTGCACGTGCTCCAAACTACAACCCCTCGTCGATCTCAAACGCGATGTTGCTATCAGCAAGCTCTGTTCCTGCAAAGCACAAAGGAAGTGCTCAAGTCTTCAGCCCTATGAACATGCAGTTTAGCCCCTCTTGTTTAATCCACCTCTCCAGGAGAAGCTGAGGAGGAAGCGGCCGCCCTGCCGCCCCTCCTCGAGTCCGCCGCGCACCGTGCGCCGCCCGACGATGACGACACCACGCATGAGAGTCTGCTGCACCATTCCGCCGAAGAGGACGGAACTTCCGGTGCAGACGACCGGATCGACCTCGGGTTTGACGCCGACGCTGCAGGGAAGCGCGCCACGTTCCGGCAGCAGTTTGTGGCGGTGGTTAAGATGCGGGTTAAGACGTACCGGCGGAGTCCCGGGCTGCTGTTCAACACGCTCGGCATGGCGCTCGTGAGTGGCTGCGACTTTATGCAGCATGCTGCAGATAGGTCAAAGGTGCTGGTGGTGACCCCGATATTGTTTCAGTACTGATGAAGGATCTCATTCGTGAGCTACTAATCACCGCAAACATGTTATGGTCGCTGGGATGCCTGTGAGTGAAGGTGAACAGGCGCTTACGCAGAAAATACCGCAGTAATTACGTTCCCGCTGGCTTTTCTGGCGTTTTGATGCAGCGCTCCAGCCAATCCTGGGATGTCATCACGGCTGGCCAAATGCTGGAGAGCAAAAGTTGCCATCTTTTGCCCCAGCATCCTGCAATCGGAATGCCATTCCAAAGAAACTTCGACGAGAGACCCAAAACCTGAAGGCAGCGAGCGTGGTTCCAACAGACTTTCTCCGATTTCTGTGCCAGATCTTCACGCTGGTGGCCATTCTGGTACAAGTCGCGTACAAGGACACGGCGGAAGACCCGGTCCACCTGGTGAACCCTGCTTACGGCAACGACGTCCCGATCTACTTTTCACCCCCAGATGGCGCACAGAACGTGTCTCAGGTCAGCAGGAGGCGGACACCTGTCTCTGCATCCTCGTATGGACCAATTTCGCGGTCGGTCTTGCACGATGAAGCTCCTCAAGGTTGCGTGGATGGCTATCAGGCAGTAGCATGTGCAATGAACTTGTGTACCTACATGTATCTTGTGGTGCCACCAAAGCTTTTCGTACCGAAAATTTCACACATTTCGCAAAGCGGGTTCAATCCATCTTTTATGTTTGAAAACCAGCACACTAGAGCCTTCTGTTTAGTGCAGCGACTGTCCGGAGAGAATCTGAGGTACTCTGTGACATGCGGCTTTTTGCGTCTCACTACGGAAGTTGCAAAGCTAAACGAGAGTCCTTCTTTGATTTTTCCCTCGTCGTTAGCCCCCCAAGAACTTCTCGCATGTGAGACGGTGTATGCAATCAACTGGTGCACTTGGCTGTTGCTTGATCGAAGCAGACCTCAGAAAGCAGTGTGGTGACAACGAAAATCGGCGCAGGGCACATTTGACCATCTGACTGTTCGAACCGCTGCTCCTCAGGTCACGACCGTCTTGCGCAAGTTCGGCCCCAACATCCAGCAGTACGACTCCGCCGCCCTCGCGGCCGCGCTCTCCTCGGCCGCCTCGGGGGATCCCTCCGACTTCGTTGCCGTCTCGTTCGACGCCCTGGACCTGCCCGGTTGTTCCGCCCAGTACACGGTACTCTATCAACCGTGGCAGATGCACCAGCTGCCGACGCTGGCTTCCATGCTCGACGCGGCGATTCTGGAAACGATGAACGATCTGGTCAGCGGCGCGGTGACCACGCTCTCGGTGTGGTCCAAAGCGTTGCCGTACCTGGATGCGGAGTACGTCTTTGGCTACTTCGTTGGGGCGTTCGTGTGCCTTAGCACGCTCATGATCCCGCCGCAGCTAGGGGGGCAGGTGAGGGAACGGATTTGTAGTTGCCGACACTTATGTTCAAATAAATCTGCGAAATATATTGCCTTGCTCTAAGATCTGGGAATACTCGGGAACTCGTCGTGTCCATGAAACTGCGATATCCAGGCCTTGCTCTGAGCTTTGAGAATTCTCGGAGACTCGTTGTCTAGAAGCGACGCCTTGTCCCGTTTACAGAGTCTACGATGAAGCTCTTCGTGTAGGTCGTTCTGGTAAGTTAGTCGGTCACGTTGCCTTGCCTTCAAAATGCGAGCCCAATCAGAGCCGACGCGTTCGTCCCGCTTTCGCGCTTCACATCTTAGAGGAGTCTGTATCTCCAACAAGAGCCAGTGCGAGAAGCTACTTCCAATGGTCAGCGCAAAGGCGACTGCGGTGTTTCTGCTCAAGCCCAATCAGAGACTCGCCAATTATAGACTCGCCCATTCTTTCAGTACACAGCAAACAACATCTCAGGACGCCTCTATTCGCCCCCCCTATTCAACCATTGTCTGGCATCGTGGCATGCAGTCCGAAGCTAGACATGCACGGCAGTGACTCACTCTACCCGGCCTCATTCTTTAAGTTCGCGCTCAGCCTGACACTCCCCCCCTCCCGCAGGTCGTCTCGGAGCGCGAGATCGGGCTGCGCCCCCTGCTGCGCGTGGCGGGCTTGCGCAGCTTCCCCTTCTGGTTGGGCACGTGGCTGGGCGACGCGCTCTTCATGGCCATCACGTACCAGCTCATCACCGTCCTGGGCTCCTGCTTCGGGCGCACGCCGTTCCTGAAACCCGCCATGCTAGTTCTGTTCGTGCTCAACGTGCTGGCGCCCAAGGCTCAGCTGCTGATGGTCTACGTCTGGACGTTCGGCACGCGCAATGGCCTCGCGGCGGCGTCCAACCTGTCCGTGCTCTTCTTCACAGCCGCCGTCATTCCCTACTTCTTCATGCTCACCATCTGGGCCGACGGTGCGCGCGCTTAGTCAACTTTTTCAACTTCTCGTCAGCCGTTTTTGCGTTGTCTTTCTTGAATGTGGGCTTCCATCTACACTTTCCAATGCTCAGCCGTTTCTGCTGTTTCAGCCGGTTCTTGTTTGTCTTTTTTAATACCTCGATGGACGGGGACGGTGACCACACAGCTCACAGTCGCTTGCTGATAGATTCCAAAGCCCGCAAGCGGGATTTAAAACGCAAGTCTGCTCTGACGTACTAGAGACATTCCCCTTTTCAAATTTGGAGTCGGCTAGAGAGAGAGAGAGAGAGAGAGAGAGAGAGAGAGAGGGCATCCTGATGCCGTTCTGCTGCTGTTTGATTTCTCCATGTTGATCAGACCAAACTCACACCGGATCAAGTCCGAAGCCCACAAATGACAGAAGCACCTCAGAACCTACTTTCCAGCTCCAAGCATACAGCCACACCTACAACGGTAGTCGAGCCTCGATGTCACCCCAAGTTCACGCCTCTTTTCGTTCCGCAGGCACCTCGTCGATCGTCCCCTTCCACACGATCATGTCGTTCATCAATCCCCCGTATGCGCTCCTTGCGGGCTACCACTTCATCAACTACACCAACGCACGGCTGACGGGCAAAAACGGCGAGGGCCCGCCCGCCAGCGTGTCGGCGGGGGCGTACTTCCAGTGGGACACGCAGATACCGGTTACGCTGCTTGGGCTGACCACAGCAGCCGCGCTTTACGCCCTGAGACTGTGGTACGTTTTTCGAGCTTGGAGTTTCCATCGCAACAAGTTCGATTTTCTGCTCCAGATACGACGATTTGCTTCTTAACGCGACCGTTCTCATAAGTTAGTGGATCGGGCGTATTAAGGAGAGTTCGGGAAGGGCTTCAAGAGCGGATCGGCGAGCCGGATCGGCTCTCTTTGAACGGACTTTGACTGTCACCCAAACACAATCTCTGCTGACCTGGGCGTTGGGCACCCCTCAATTATGAGTCGTGAATCCCATCACCGCGAAACATCTCCACCAGAGCAGCTCAGTCCCGTTTCACTTGTCAACAATAATACTATTGGTCTGTCTTCGTCGCAGGCACTTGGAGGTGAAAGCTACAGAGCCCGAGACTCGGCAGGAAGCGCCGGTCGAGCTCTCGGACGCCGCCGCGGAGCCTCCATTAGAGCCGGAGGTGGCGGCGGAGAAGCAGAAGGTGGTGCAGAAAGGCGCGGCGTGGGAAACGCTGGCGCAGAACGACACGGCTGTGCAGGAGCAGGAGGACGCGCTCACACTGTGCTATGGGCTGGGAAAGGTACGGGGGTCGGAATAGGTTAGATGCTGGTCTGCATTGTGGAGCTGGAAACCATGGGGTTTAGTGCAATTACTTCATGGAAAAAAGTCGTTTCCCAGTCGCTGTCGTTATAGTCTAAAGAAGGTTCCAGCGTGGGACACGGCTTGCATAATGAAACAATTTTCGCTGGGTAGACTCGTTGATATCTGCATGCGTGTTTGTGCACCACAACGAAAGCTCCGCCAGCGGGTCCCTCGTAACAGCCGAGACTGTTCTGCGAAACGAAAGGTGTCAAGTTTAGACAAGTGCTCTCGCAGAGCAAGGAGGATAAGCGCGGTGACTGGTTCGGTCTGGTGAGATCCTCTCCTGTGCTGACCTCGTCGTTTTCCCATAGACATATCCACCGGTCTTGGAAGACACGGAGATCTCCCCCCCGGTGGTGGCGCTGCAGAACTTCTGGCTGTCGGTGGGGGCTGGAGAGGTCAGTGATTCGAGCTGAGTTGTGTCTCTGAGCCAACTTTTTAAGTTCTAGAGCGCGTTTGTCATAAGACTCCCCACACTTCTCTTGTTGCAGCCATTGTAAATGCTTGCGTGGAGCACCCACCTTCAGTCTCGCATGACGTCTCCATCCTACGAACCAGTCGATCTGTCAATGGCAGCACCGGTTCCTCTTTTCTTTGACATCCTAAGCTCCAGAGTGCACGTCATTGGATCCTCCTCCGTTAACAAAGGCCGCTCTGATGGTGCCTTCAGACGGCCAATCCAAACCCGTAAAGATCACGTTGATAGTCAGTGAGGTTATTGATCCCTTTTTTTCCGCGCTCCCAAACAAAAACGACCGTTGCATTCAGACCCCGCCGCCATTTCTGTGCAGACCATCGTGTTGGTGGGCCCTGCGGCTGCGGGCAAGAGCACGCTACTGAGCTGCTTGGCGGGGACCACTGAGGTGACGCACGGCGACGCGCTCATCTGCGGCCAGAGCGTGCGCTACAGCTACGAGTTCGGGAACGGGGGGAAGGTCGGCTTCTGCCCGCAGGGAGACGTGAGGACACGTGTACTAGGATCTTTTCTTTGTTGTCTCTTCGGGTTTTGGTGTCTTCCGCTTTCTTTTACCCGCACAGAGACCGCCGCGTGTAGTGTCGTCCATAACAGTACCCAGTCGAACAGTCTGAGGATAATAACGTGGACAAATCGAGACGGCCGAGATCGAGCCAAGATTGAGCCAGGAGGGATTGTCGATTCTCACATCAACTGCTTCGTGTGGTCTGAGATGAATGAAGGTGCCACGAAAGTAAGGTCAGGTGCTTTTTGGAGATCATTCAGCACTAGTGCAATGCACCCAGCTGGTGCGCGTCGTCTTTTGAGTTATTCGATTGTTTAAATCTACCACCATTGGAGGAGGAGAGTGGGCAAAGTCAAGGTGCATCGGTGCGATGGTCCTTCGTCACAGCAGGTCATGAACGGTGTTCCGAACGTTTTACGTGGATCATCTAACAGCAGACGTAGAGAACGAAGACATACCAAGACTGCAAACAGGACGCTCAAGAGTATTTTCAGACCGCTGAATAGTGCGCTTCTGCATTTCTGCGCAGATTCGATTTGTTTGTTTGCCAGGAGGATACAACCTCGAGAATGAAGGGGACCCGAAACACTCAATCTACGGCGTAACATAGGTTTGTCATTGAAAGCCACCGGACAAGGATGAACTGAAGGCATTGACGAAAGCTGCGTCTCGTTCTCCTGCGCAGGTGGTGGCCGGAGCTATGACTGTACGCGAGCACCTCCAAATGTTGTGCACCGTGCGCGGTCTCGCCGCGTCGGGCTCTCTAGCAGTCGACTCGGCGTTGCTGTCTGCGGAGATTTCTGCCGAGGAAGCCAAGCAGCTGGCCCGCAACGCGCCACCTGGCACGCTGAGGAAGCTCCAGCTGGCGATGGCGCTTCTAGGCGGCCCGCGAGTGCTGTTGTTGGACGAGCCCACGTTCGGTGAGAAAACGAACTGGCCGAGCTGAGCTACTAAGTGGGCTCAAGCCTGCGCTCAAAATATCCGGTTTGCTTCGAGACCTGAAGCACTGACATTTTTGGAAGTTGGATGGGAGTCCGCTCAAATCCAACCAGCTGCTAGTTCGCCTTGCTTTTTGCTAGTTGCTCGTGCTGCGAATCAAACAGTGGGTCTGGTTGCCAAACATCGCGGCCACAGCGTTTACCTTGGACGAATCAAACACACGTTCTGATTCCGACGGTATAGAAGATATCCTGTTCTTTCGTTCGTTTGAATACTAGTATTGCCAGGGCTTCATTTAGCTGATGGGGGCCCTCGAGGGTCAAGGCAATCCTGCGACGTCTTTGCGAATGCAGACCTCAGTTTTTCTGCTAGGAAGCTACTCCCTGATCTCTTCAACTAGGTTTCTTGCGTCCGCGCAGGCATGGATGCGGCAGGGCGGCAGGCCGTCTGGTCCCAGATCAAGGCTGGCTCCGCAGGGCGGGCGACGCTCATCTGCACCAGCTCGGTCGAAGAAGCGGAAGCACTGGGGTAAGTGCAAAGGCAGACTAGATCTAGCAGCTCTGCAGTAGAGAGTCTGAGCCCAATGGATGCTCCTTTGCATGTGATTATGCTAGGGCTGAGTCTGATCGGTGCTACTCTGACGTATGCCGTATCCTCTCCTACGGATGTACTCGACATACGTGATGAAGACCCTCTCTTCCGTCGCTCTTCTCCATAAGAATATATGGCTTGCAATTCTATTTTACACCCCTTCGTCGATCTACTTTGATGGCCAAGTTACGACATTGGAAATATTGACACTATTCAAAACAAAAGAATCATTGGTTAAGCCGGGGATTTGTTTTGTTTTCCTTCTCACCTTTCGTCTTTCTCGATCTTCTAGCCTTGTTCTCGCGGATTTCTTCGAAGCGACAGTGTGTACCAAGATCCTCTACTCACAATTTGCTGCTTCTCGTGCCCGCTGCTCAGGACCCAGGTGGGCGTTCTGGTGAAGGGGCGGCTTCGATGCCTGGGCTCCCCCCAGAGCATCAAGAAAAAGTACGGCAGCGACTACTCGCTCATCGTGCGCGCGCATCCCTCCAAGCTGCCCGCTATACGCACCTTCATCAACACGCTCTTCCCCTCCCCCTCGACGTCGTCCGGGCGCGAAAACGGCGGCCCGCGCAGCTTTGCTTCGGAGAGCGACTCGGGGGGCCAAGCGCGGTTTGGTGTGCCGATCCAGACCTTGCCGGAGCTGGCCATGTTGTTGCATGAATTGGAGACGAAGCGGGCGAGCTTGGGGATAGAGGACTACTCTGTGAGCCAACCGACTCTGCAGCAGGCGTTCTTCCGGCTTAGCAAGGATGACGCCGGCCAGCACGCGGGCTAGGTCGGTTCAGTCGTGGACAGGCGGAACCGGGAATTATTCTTCTGAGCGTACGCTCCTCCTTTCGGCGCCATTTGTGGCACCTTCGAAACTTTTCTACACGCAGCGTCGACGACCAGTCCTGCCGTGCTCGACGCTTCACGAGTTAGATGTCTCTATAAATGAACGCACAAACCGGAATATGCAGAATGTTCCACTTATTGCGAGTCCAGTCGAACCCGTAAATGATGAGTACTTGCCGGCCGTCCATTTCACGTGTCTATCGAGCATACACACCGATTGCTGCAAATTTTCGATTCGCAGCAATATCGCATAGACGTTCTTGTACACATAACAACCCTCGAGGCAATTGTTAAGTGCATCCAGCGGGGCCGAGCTAAGTTGCATCGCGATCGGTGATCTGAAGTCACGTGGTGGCCGTGCGTGACTCGCGGGGCAGTTGTATTGGCCTTCGAAGGATCATGGCCGGTGCTCCCGGCAGGCCGCGCTGATTAAGTGATGCATCAAGCATAGCCATCCGGACAACGATGCGATATATTACTGACTTATTGTGCCAAGTGTTCAAAGCAACTTGGCAAGCTGTATACATGCAACGCGCGCGGCATGTAAGGAGTACCTCTGTATGAAATCATGATCTCACCTTGAGATTGGTGGCAGGCTAGTCGTCGTGAGTCTCTGGTCCTTACAGTAGCCTGCAAGCTAGCGAACCTTGGAACATCGTAGGGGGCACTGCCGTTGAGTGTTCAACAGGCGGACCGCAACGGCACGTTCAAGATACCGCCGCGCGCAGCTTTGCGTAGTCGGCTTATATTGTGACAAGGATGAAATTCTGCGCCAGGCAAAGTGACCTGGGGTGTCACTCTAATCAGTGGTGACACGATGTGCTCAAGTGGAAGCAGTCTTGGTGATTGTGGTCTCAGTTGATCATTTACATATGAGAATCTGGCTTCTTGACTCTACAATTGAAGCCATTTCTATCGCTCTGTACATATGGTCCAGGAGTCGTTGGTTCGGAAGAGGTCTGCCTCGGTCGATCAGGCGGGATTGCAAGCGTTCTGTATTCTGCTCTAATTGTAACAAGATACACGGTACAAAAGAGAAAACCAGTTGCGAGCAGCGTAGTCAGTGCAAAAGCTGTGCCTTGTTTCCTCTGGACCGTACTTTCCGAGAACTTCATTGCAAAGTGTGAATACTCCACGTCATAAACGCCTTCGCGACAGCCTCCCCAACCGCACCCCCCTCACTACTTCCGACCCAGTATCATCCACCGTGGTCCAAGAATAGTGCCCCTCTCGGAGCTCCGAGAAACGGGGAGCCTCAACATCCCAGCTGCTAAACGGGGCGTATGGCCGGGACGAAATCGCCTCTAGGGCAAGCCGGTTGAGTGACGCCAGCGTGACGTACTTCCTGCGGCACTCGGGCATCCACGACGGCGCGGTGCGCCACACGAGGCGGCTCTGCGGGCTGAGTAAACTTTCCCCCCAGTCTAGATACGCGGGCAGGTGCTTGTTGAACGCCTGCCACGCGTCCGTGCACCAGTAGGCCGTCCAGTGCCCGGCGTCGAGCGAGATGACGTCAGCACCTGCAGAGACGAGGAGGCTGAGAAATAGCAGGACTTGTGAGCCAGGTTCGCTCAACCGACATGCTGATCGTAGCTACATTCAGAATGCACCCTTCCTACGTCCGATGGGTAATCTCCGTTTTCTTTTGTTTAGATGGGTCTCCAGATCCTTGGTTAGCAGTCCGAGTCCTGAGAGCACTTGCCCAGCAGAGGGAGAATGTCAAAATGCTCATCACAGATTGTAGAAACGTATAACATTAAAGACAGTGTACGACAGTACCACAGGCGGTTGCCACAGGCCCTGCCTGTGGTGTAATGAAAGCACAACCTACCGGGCTGGATCTGCGGGTACGAGTTGGTCTCGTTTCGCCCGGAGTACATGCCTCGGTCGGTGCAGCCAAACTCGCCGTTGGCATAAATCCTGCACGAACGACGTGGATGCGGTCCGGGGATTCCTCAGCAAAGAAGGAAACATGAACGAGGGCTGCATTGTCAGATCAGAGGAACCAGTTGGAACCAGTGTCCTTGCGACGTCCGTCAATGTTTAACGGACAAACTAATTGTGAATGGCTTTTGAAGGTGATAATCGAAGATGACAACACATCTGATCCAGGGAGTCCGTTCTCACTATTTTCTTTGACTAAAGGAAAAGGAGCACTTTTGTGGTAAAAGCCAGCTGTTGTATCGGCTGGGTTCGAGCCGACGATTGATGGACGTCTCGGAGCCATTGATTGCAGTCTTGACCGTTTGCTAGCGATGTTCAATGCGTTCAATCTGTGCTCACATCCTCGGACCAGCTTGCTTGATGCGGAAAACACGGCCAACTGCAGGATCAAACATTCTTGATGACCTGGATTGCAGGTTGGCCTCTGCTGAAGGAAGCGCGTTTACAGCATAAACTCTCCCAGAGCAGACGAGCCACAGTGTCTACATTCACCAACTAGACGAGACACGACACTCAAAGTTCATCACAAGACCTGCGCGAACAAGGCCTGCCCTCGAAAAATCCAGCTCTGACCTTACATCTGATCACGAGAATCTCTACTGGGCTAGATCGGTCTAGTTGCTTTCATAAAATGACTCCAAAGCGTCCTGAAGGGGCCTGCTTCAGCGAACGGTGCCGACATCTTTACAACAAAAGCGGGTCCGGGCTTTTCGTTCCCCAAACAGCTCTTGCAGCCAATCTCGATGCATTTCGATCTTGACGAGACTGGAAACGTGCAGCCACACAATTGCAGTCCATTGCAAGCAAGTTTGAGTGAGAAGAGCAAAGCAGAGCTAGGATATTACAACGGGGAAGTTATGAAAATGAAAGCAGAGAAAAGAAATTGCGGCGAAGGCGTTAAGGTGGTGCAATATAGACGCAACACAAGTCGGGGTGGGAGAAGTTGAGGTGGGGCCTGCGCTATGCTTCTGGCCGTCCCACAGATCTCGAGAGACAGGGCATGAAACAACCCTGGTTTAGTCTAATGAGGATATACGGAAGAGATTAACAATTGCCAGCACTTTTGTAGCTTGCACAATTATAGATTTGCTTGAGTGTACATCGGGTTTACTCACCCATCTACCCAGTAGAAGTGCAGATGCAGTTCCCTCTCCGGGTCGCCCGCGTTGATCACCTCCTTCATGTCGTGCTTGGGCTTGTTGAGGTCGTCGTCCCCAATTGGGGCACCCAGCAAATTCTTGAGGTGCTGATAGAGTACGCGCTGATGGCAGTCCCCTACGAACAGCACCCGCCGGAAACCCTTCCTCCGCATCAGGTATGCGTAGTCCGCCGCAGGAACCACCGGTGGGGCGCACGGGTGATTAGTCCACTCCCACTTGTCCTCCCCCTGCTTGACCCACTGGAAACCCTGTCCGTAACTACAGGGGGTCAGTTGACCACCCCCCTGCCTAGGAACAATGGTGACGCTAAAATCGGCTAGCTTTTCCAAACCGCTCGCTGCGTTGCAGCCCCCCAGAATAATAGCCTGGTAATCCCCGGCATCCCACAGCCGGAAGCTAGCCGTCCACGACGCTCTGGCGGGGCTGAAATGATTGGCCTGCAGCTCTGCGACTGCTCTGGACGGCCCCAGAAAGTACAGTACAATCTCCTGCGCCTCCTTATTCAGCGTATCCCAGTAGGTCTCGTTTTCTGAAAGGACGGTCAGACTGCACAGCACGCCAACCACACATTCGCAAGGCCCGTCTACCATTATTCCTTCTGCCAGGTGTCGGAACTGCGCCGCACCACACTGGGACCCAGCCAATGGCATCTCGCCACCTTGCTCCCCTGTTCGAGTGCCTCCATGTAGTTTTGCATCCTTCAGTAATGGATTCGCCGCCAGCCCAGCTGTGCCACCTCCTGTTTCTCGTAAGCTGCTGACACCTGGCAACACGCCAGTGTGTGCCTCGCTTCCGCTTACTGCTGTCAGACTCTCGTTTGTTTTCAGAGCTTCTGCCAGCTGTTGCTTGAGACTTAATACCTTCGCTTCCAGATCTCGGGTCTTCTCAAGGAGCTCCACCTGTTGATGGAGCTGGGCAAGGCTCTCAGCTTCCTTGCTGCTGCCATCTGTCACTTGTGCAATGCTGCCAGCTGTACTTTTTTTGGTCGGTTGTTCCAACGTGCGTTGTAGTAGGAGGCGAGAATGTAGCACTTCCTTTGTGGTATCACATAAGCTGAAACCACTCTCAATTCCGGCATCACGAATCACAGCCGATAACAGGCACCCAAGCACGAGGCCGAACAGAAACGTGAAGGAAAAGACTTGGCCTAGTGTGGCATGCTTGGCCAGGTGAGAGAAGGGCATCTTGAGTTTTGGCAAGGTTTTGTCTCTCTGCGCACTTCACTGCCTCCTTATATAGGCTCGTATTATTGCCGTTGTTCATGCTGAAGATACGCCCATCGGCGCATCATGCGTCCAGTTCCAAGCGATTCTCTCTTGCTCTTTTCCCCCCCGCACCACTGGCCACAGCTTTAACTATATACGTACTAGAGCTGTAGCAATTGTAAGCTTGCATACAAGCCCGCTGACTTTTGGAGATCACTTTAATGCATATCTTGTAGACAAGCTGTCCACCCCAGTCACAGCTTGGTTTGATGCAGCGTAATATTGGCGAGAATCTGAAGGCCTTACGCAAGCCCCTGATCGAGCTCCTGGCTCTAGTTTCTCAGGCTCTGCCAATCACAGTGTAACCTCATGACATACACTAGGTTATATAAGTAGGAACGCCTGCACGAGATGCATATGCACGCGCACCGGTGATCAAGAGGTGCGCAAGACTCAGGTAGGACTACCAGCTTTAACACAGCTTGCAGAGGAGTCCGCGGATGAACCTGAATGTCTGCAGCGCTGCATTCCTGTTGCTCGTATCAATCATTCAAGAATCAATAACGTCTTTTTCGACCTGAGGTATGCGTGCACTTTTACCTTTCTTCAGCAACTCATGCAACTCACATGAGCTGCAGGAAACATCATCAAATTTTCATCAGAAAGCCCGTTTTGCAGTGGACACTTGAGTCACTGGACAGTGCACTAGTCCACGTGCACGTCAGGTACAGAAATGGATGTACGTACCGTACCTATTGAAGGACACACCTTGATTAAATTGTGTACGATCGACCGGCACGCCGCACTGGGTACCTACCTACAGTACGGTAATTTCTCGGTCTCAAATACAATAGGTACTAAGGTATCCAGACCGGCCGACAAAGAGGTACATTATGGAGCGCCGCTTGAGCTATCTAGGTACTCGCGCAAACTCTGACGACGCTTTCGCAGGTACAGGTACAACCCCCGGCTCGGTACTTGGACAAGCCGGCCACCGGTTTCGACGCCCTAGGAATCTTAGAGATATCGGGCAGATGATAAGGTCATGCCCGGGAGCAGGTGCGATTACCCAGGAAGAAATAATAGATTTGGGTTGGTTTGGGTGCGGACTCTGGAGCGGATTAAATAACCGGATCGATCACTAGTTTGTCTTTGTTCGACAGAATGCCCTTTGACCACCCGGTTCAAACCAATTATAGGGGTTCAAAGATCCATTGATCGACAATATGTGATTTTGCTTTAAGCCCCGGGCACCACGCTTGCTCCACAAGGCTTGACTCCCGGCGTCGCAAGCCGGTTTTCAGCCGGTGGGGTGCCGTTCTTCGCATTCAGCAAGGTTCAGCTCACGACCACCCGTCCAGTGGGACTGTGCACGGTGCCGTTACCGCACACCGGTAACAGCTTCTATCTCGGCGATAGTTTCATGTGACCTGCAAGTTGCCGAGTACCGAGTATGGGTACGCAGCTTTGCAGCATGCCAAAGCAATGATTGGTAGGTACTAATATTTGTTTACTTCCAGTACTCCGCCCATGGAAAAGGCCCCGACATGCGGAAGTTGCAACAGAGCACAGCGACTAGGCACTACCGGATGTAGAGCCCACAGCACGTGTGCATCTCAACTTCGCTGCAGTTTTCTTCATGGCGCCTACCTATTTGCAAGCTGTAGCTGCCAGCTCGCAGCTCAAGTGTCCTAGTACATATCTGCTTGCGAGCTGACATTTCTCACCATTGCAACGCAATGAACCATGTTTCTTCAGCACGAATTGAAGCTTCATGGTCATGGACTAAGCAGTGATCTCCCAGAACCCCATAACTACTCAGGACCATACACCTTGTAAGTGTGACAAGGAAACAGTTGCCTGATCAATCCCGCTCTGCGCATCTATCAGAACAAGGCGCGCTGCAGAAAAACCAAGGTGAGGAAAGCGGGTGACATTGGAAGCCCATCAGCAAAATGCTCATCAAGCATGCAGCCGGCAAGAGGCTCGTTCTTGCATTTATTATGTTTTGGAATATTGAGTCTTTCTTGACCTGTTTTGTGCAGGTAGACCACAGTGAATGTTGTTGCGCGCATCCCCAATTGAAAGAGCAGCATATTTTCTACTGCAGTTGGTAAACTCAGTTCCTCACTCCCCTGGAGCGCTCCTCGCACGAGCATGAAGCTCCTCAAGCGAGGGGATGCGCCCCCCCTCGGGGGTGGGGGCATGCGCTTTGGGCCCATGACAGCGGTCCTTTTATTTGTGATGGGCTTTGGACTGAGCTCCATCCTGCAATCCCTCGGATCTCTCAACATGTCGTCGAGTGCGTTTGACAGCTCTTTTCAGCAGCTGTACCACAGCTTTGGCCTGCTGCTGCCGTTCTGTGCCGGTCCGACGGTGAGATTCTTCTCTGCTTTAAACGACCTGTTGGTCCTTCTTAGTCTTTGAAAGGCACTGAAGACCCCAGAATGCAGATGTCTGTTATGTGAATGAAGAACTGCTTCGACGGGTCACTGCTTTTCTGAAATGGAAGGGAGGACATTCGGCCTATCAAGAAAACGTTGTCAGACTGCCACAGATCCTTAGCCAACTTTTATGTCCCCCCTGGAAAGCAACCGTAGGCAAGTCTGAGACAAAGCTTGGCACACAGACCACAACTTTCAGGATTAAATGTCAAAGCTGTAGCGATTCCACTACAAGCCATTTGGAACACACAAGATATCTGTGCGTACTCCCTTCTACCATCTGGTAATTTACTACCACCTTTAGAAGACTGAATTGCAGCTTGGACGAAAGTGCTAAATTCCAGAAACTTTGCTGGCCTTGCTAAACAGACACACATTATTTTTTCATTATTTGGTTGTCTCTTAAGGACCCGATTGTAAGCAGAATTGGGCTAGAATGTAAAGAGTAGCATCAATGCTTGACGCTCCACAGATAATCTCTTCTAAAGACGATAAAAGATGGTCAGGGTTCTAAAGATGCTGTTCTTAAGATTCTCTGGAAAAAGATTTCTTCTTAAGATGCTATACCGTCAAGATGCTCTCTGCTCTCGACCTAGAAATCACAAGCTGTCTTGCATCAATATAGTGAAGGGACCCACTTGAGTGGTGCCAAAAGTATGACCCTGCACCTAGAGCTCTTTGGACAGTGGGTAGGAGACCTCAAAAATTGATATAGCTTTGTGAAAAAAGGCTTTTAGTCTTGTACAATTGATACTGTTCACACAATTCTGGGCTTACCACTGCACAAGAGCAGAACCTCAGATGATGAGCCCTCCACATTGCCAGCAATCGAGTCCTTTTTCCCACCCCCGTTCTGCAGGTCGTCTCAGTGGTGCGGGAGGGCAGTGTGAACACGACCCTGGCGACTTTGACAGAGAAACTGTCAAGAATGGAAGCAACAACGGAGCTAAAGGCGGGGGCGTTTGGAGACCTCACAGCACGCATAGTGGCGCAGGTTGAAGGGTCCGCAGCGGGCTGGAAGGAAGCGCTTGCAGGCGTAAGCGCACAGTCCCTGTCTGTTTAAGAAATCCATGCAACTTTCCTCAAACTTGTCCATCTTCGAACCACGAGGCTTGCCGCGCTTCTGTTGATTGGATGTACAACCTGTCTGCGGAGGAGAAGGAGAGGCTGGGGAGCCCACTCGAAAAGCTGTTGCCCCTGCCAGACTGGCGCAGCAGACAGTGGTTTCCTGGTAGCACTCTACTATGATTCGAAACTGAGAGGAAACTGGCGGTTTAGTGCAAGATCAACAGATCGACAGCTCCTAAGCAGATGAGGTCGGCTATCTGGTTTCATTTGGCTGTCTAGCCTTTGACTTTCGAGGAAAGGAGCTTTCTTTGTCGTTGCTAAACTGGTACCTCAAACGTTAGGGGCTTCTATCAGCTTGTGCCTTTCATTGAGAAGAAGAAGTCCCCACAGCAGAACCACACCCAAGAATGTTCGCGGGCAGTGTTGTTAGACAATATCTGCGAGCAGCCACTAAAATGCTGTTTGCTTCCAATACTTGCCTTAGTGGAGTCGACCAGAGCAAACCGAACGGCATCTTCCATGACAGGTCGAAGCCAGACTCGCCAAGGCGCAGGAGTCGGTTCCTGACCGCAAGCTAAGCGCAGAAACGGACGAAAATGTCCCTAGTGAGGAGGAAGTGGATAAGCTATGGGAGGGATGGTCGAGCGCGTATGCTGTGGAGGACCTGCACTTCAAGGGCGCTCCAGTACAGTCTCCAGGAATGCTCCCGCCCCCTCACTTACAGGTAAAGGCTGTTGGCGGGATAGCAAGGTGGATTAGGAAAAGAGTAGCTTGGGACCGAAAAGAGAAATTTGACGTTCCCTTCGACTTTCGCGGCACATGTAGTGTCACGATGATTGAGAAGCTTTCCGTTTCGTAGGTCGATGTGATTGCCGCTCTAGCTGGTGCTCTTTTAGACAACGCCCAATTGCTCCGTTTTTTTCAGAGTCCACTTACTAGGAGAGAGCTTCGGCAGTGCCGTCTGCAGAACCCTTGTGATTTGATTTCTCCAGTTACGGAACTCCTTTCGCAGTAGAATTCCTTCGAATCGAACCGTGCTCGTTTGAGCTCGTACTTGTAGCTTGTAAGAGCGCATACTTTTAAAGCGCCTCGTTGAACCGATACTGCATAGGGGGTTCGTAAGCCGAACCCAAGCCGGACATTTAAACGTTCTTCTGATTGAGCAATTCCGCATTTTGACTGATTAGCAGCGCCTTGTCAATTGGAGATCCCGTGAGGAAGCCCTTCATAAGCCGTAACTTTGGCGTACTGAGAACAATGAGGGGCTGTTTTTTGCTGGGTTTGGGAAGCTGAGGCTCCTGGTAATCTGAATGTAGAATGCAGTCTGAGTCTTTCTTAGTCTCAATCTCTCTTAGCTTAAGTCTCAGATCTAGAAAGGCGTATGTTCCGCTACAGGACTGCGCTAAAGTGACGGCGGACCGTACAGCCTGGGAGACCCGGGGTGAAGACGGGGCATTACCACTGTGGCACAGCGGGCACATATTTGGCCAGGGCGACGGGGGTGTGAATACCTCCCAGCCCCCGTGGGTGTACGGGGCAGACATCGACAACATCCCAGCAACACGGCGTGCGCAGGCGGACATCTGGGCGCATCAGCATCCAGCTGTAAGGAAAGCTTTAACTGGGCACATTTTTCACGCCGCAACAATGAGTTGCACGCCGATGGGAGTTCTGTTCTTCTTGGCTGCGTCGGTTGGTTCAACGGTAGCTTGACGGGGGCAGGATAGGAAACCAGCAGAAGGTTAAGCAGACGGCTAACAGCATATTGATCAAAGATTGACGGCAGAGCATTTCTGGAAGTAACTTGTCAAGGACAAGTTTTCTCTGAGGAAGTAACCTCTATACTATTGGCCGTTCATATTCTCGCTTCCAGTCATACGTCAAAGGCAGACGACCCGTCAAAGCTGGAATTAGGTCAGATAAAGCAAGCGTTGGGCATCGAAGCTGGAGGTGGGCACTCGACGAACTCCTCACGCCTCAGACATCTCTTGGCGAGCCCTCTCGTAACCGCTTAGGCTCCTGCAAACGTCCTTCCTAGGGTCCCTCAACTCTTTGATCAACCCCAGCTTAGTTTAAGATCCTAACCGGCAACTAACCTTCGGTTAAATCCTGCCGAACCCGCAGGATTGCCACGACCCCAACCTGCGCTTCCTGGTGGCTGACTGGTGGACTGTCGAAGTGCACGGGCTGGGTTCTCAGTTGCACGGGTGGACCATTATTCTGGCGGCCGCCCTGATCCACAACCGCGTGCTGGTGCTGCCTCACACGTACCAACCGGCGAGCCACGAAGGGTGCGAGGCGGAGGGGAAAAAAGACTCGCTCGCGTGCTTCTTTTTTGACTTCGTTAGCGAGGAGTGCAGGTAAGCGACACTATGAGGCACCCCCCCTTGTTCTAGCCTGAATTGTTCTACAAGGCTTCCTTCATCGAGACCGCTCGGTTTGGTTAATGCTGATAGCAGCTTCTGGCTTGAATATACTAAAACGTCCGCGTTTACGCACAGCTTCGTGCTCGAACGGCTTACTAGTACAAGGGGGGTGGTTTAGAGTGCGCTTAGGCAGGTGGGGAATCCACGATCTCGTCTGAGGCACAGCGGGTCATTTTCCTGCTTCAAGTATAGGTTTTTCTCGGGCAGGGTCGCTAGCAGGGCAATCGTTCCTTTCGCTTTTACAGATGAGAGCCTCCTAGAATCTAAGGCAGCGTTGGCAGTTTCCAATGAGAGTTCTGCAGTTCGCATCTGCTCTCAAGAAGGCAAGCTTCGTCGGCGTCTTCAAAAGATGGAACCAAACGGAAAGCTTTGCAAACTGTTCAAGAGGGAAGAAGACCGACCATTTGCACACAGGAAGTTCTGGCCGCTAACCACGCTAACTACTAGAATTGACTCCAAAGTTATCGGTCAAGTAACCGGGTTTTGACCTTGTTCCAAGGCTGCTTACATCCAAGTCCGCTTGACGGGGAGATAAACCCACTTTCTAAGCAGCCCAGAACCAGCCCAGACCCATCCTTGGTTAAGAGCCGAACCTCCTGTGTTTGGTTGCTGAATGCTCTTTTCTCTTCGCTGCAGGACGGTCGGCTTGGACCTGTTTGCGCGCAAAGTGTCCGTGGCCCGCGGCGCGCACAACGCGAGCAGCGAGCAAGTAGTCACAGGGCTCGCCTCTGACGCGCGCGTTTACTTCGTCAGGGAAATGTTTCACCACGCGCACTACTGGCTGTACACCGAGCAGGTGAGCGCACAAAATGCGTTTAGGTTGCTGTCAACCAAACCATAACCGTAACTGACCCAAATATTTGGTGGGCGCAGACGTTTTGTTCGTGGGATAGTGGCTTCTGACCGAGCAATCCCGTAAGCAGCGAAATTTGTCGACGAGATGATAGACGGGATGGAAAGCGTAGAACGAGCTTTTAAGTGAAAAGTCAGTCCTGCTTGAGCGACATTTAAAGTGTTGGTTCGTCTTGTTTCAGGCGAATGCATAGCGGCACCTGTCACGAACCCCCCTGAAAATTCGAGTAGGGAGCTACTGCAGACACCTTTTGCATCCACAGACTTTCACTGACTTCGCAAAGGCTTCACTTATGGACCCACTGTATCCTGCGGAATGTTCTCTTTGCATTCCGCTGCCCATTTACGGTTCGTGTTCTTCCAAAATCGCTGTTCAACATCCAGAGTACCACCTGCTCCTTCAGAATTTGTGACCCTTAACCATGGATAGTTATGAACTGGTTAGGGGATGCTTGGAGAGTGGTTATTTGTCCAAGAACCAGGCTTTGGCGGTAACCAGTCTTGTAACACAGTTAAAGTCAGGTTATGTTCTAGATCCGAAGCTACAGTCTGATAATCAGCAGCCAGAACTTCCCGTGCGCTGTGCTTCCAGGCCCCCAGCAACTGGGGCCAGCCGTGGCTGAAGGAGTCGGTGTTGACCCTGGAGAACCAGGGCAAGCTGTTCCACGCGGACGAGAGGCGCGCGCGCACTTCCTGGTGGCGCGCGCAGGCCACCAAGTACCTGCTGCGATGGCCCAGCAGCTATCTGTGCCGTCTCACCAACCGGGAGCGGCACCGCGTATACGGAAAGCAGGTGGGCATAAGCTTTCCTGCATTGATGCTCGTATGACAAGATCCCATTTGGCCAACCGGGAGCGGCACCGCGTGTACGGGAAGCAGGTGAGCATTTACTATTCTGTTTTTGCTGCTCGTATGATGTTGTCTGAGGTTGGCTGCGCATTTGAGCGAGCGCTTCCAGTTGGGTGTGCGACTCCGTTGCATACAAGTCAGGACCATGGACAGCTTGTCCGGAAGCTTTCTTGAACAGTTCGAACTACATTTGCTTGGCCGCCTGCTTCTGCTATCAGAGTCTCTCTCGCCTGTTGGGGACGAGTAATTGTGCTTTGGGAAGTTTGTTTCATGTTTCCGTCGTTCTGAGAGTCAAATAACGTCCAGCCCGAACCAGACCGGGCTCTGTGGACTAAAGCTCCATTGATTCCGCACCATGCTAAATCAGACTTGAGTCGAAGGGTATCGCTGAGAAAAAGCTCGTCCAGGAAGCTCAGTTCTATGCTTGAAACTCTGTCTCCTTTGTAGTTGTGTCCTTCTATTCATTATATTTTCAAAAAGCATGCTGTTTTCGGTGGACGTTCTGTAAGTGCCGCACTCTTCCACATCCTCAAGCAACCAGTGATCGCGCAAGCGAACCTGCTCCAAGGATCGGAAGCGATGCACAAGAACAGAATTCAATGCTTGCAATGGTAGCAGGCTCGATCTCCTTTCCAAGGATGACTTGTAAAGGTGTCTAGCAAGAGACCGAAACCCGCGCCCAACTCTCACCTTTCCTCCTCCTATAACCCGTTACCGCGCTTCCCCCTGATCAGGTGGCCCGTGACCTGCTTGCCGCCAAAATGCGCCAGAGCAGAATCCTCACCGACTCTAGTTACGGCGGCCTCATGAAAGGCGAATTGGAGACCACGTTTTGGAGCCCGGATGAGCGGGGGCCCTTCTTGCCGGGGCCTTGTATCTCATTGCACGTGCGGCAGGGGGATAAGGCGGCCGAAATGGAACTGTACGACTTCGGCGCCTTTATGGCGATGGCGGAGCGGATACGGCGGCACAACCCTTCCGTCAGGTGAGCTTCACGTCTCTCTTTTTCATCGCGATGAAACATTCAGAAAGAATTTCTGATTACCTTCCTTAGTATCCTTTTCAGATTACCCCCCAAAACGAGAGAACAGCTGCATCTTTGCTAACGGAATGCTGCCGCCTGCCGCCCAAGCCGATCAACGTTGATCAGACTGAAAAGAAAGACAAGCGTAAAAGTTGCATGATCAACTTCTGGTAAGGAAAGTGCTGTTGGATCCATATCCCGTCCGTTCAATCCTGCAACGAAAATTTTCAAGCGTGATCAAGCGCCAAGCATCTGGTTGACGCCCGCCTTTCTTAGTTGCGGAAGACGTTCTGCAGAGCTGCAAGGCATAGATCTCTGTTCGTTGTAGAAACCTGTTATGCGCCAATCTCTTCTCCGTCGCGGTCAACCTTCTACCCGATCCGGCAACCTTTTGTCCGTTTGACGCCCTGCAGTAATCGCGCGCTTTGCTCGTGCACTTCAATACTCGCTCAAAGCAAGATTGGGCTGATCACCTGACGTGGCGCCCCCTTGTGTCACTCGATGTCTCACTGGCTTCTTTACCACCAAGTTTTTTAGCTGATTGAAGTCTATACGTGCTTGTTTGCAGGACCATCTGGTTGAGCACGGAGATGGAGACAGTGGTCAACGAGACGCGTCTTTACCCTTCGTGGGATTTCCTATACACCCGGGGGCTCCCCCGAGTTTCCGAGATGCGGGGCATCGGGAGGGGCCGGGACATTACCGACCAGTCGTTCGTCAATCTGGTTATCTCAGTGGAATGTGATTACTTTGTGGGCGTACCGGGCTCTAACTGGAACCGGTTGATCGACGAGATAAGAAGAACATCGGGAAAACGTCGGACTGCTCATGTCGCGTTGAACATGGGCGAGGCGAGATGAGCTTCCCTACGAGATCAAGGCGCACATTGGGGCCGATCGCGCGCCTTTGAAACCCTGTCGTGCGAGTAGAATCCTCTTGGTCCGAGCACGTAGCTTTTCTATAAGCCGCTATTATGAACTTAAAGGATTGCCGAGTGAAATTGCAGGCTTCAGAGCTGATATAGAGGTGCAGAGCGGACGTTTGACGTAGACGGTATCAAGTCCTTCAACCAGGAGATTTGACCACTTGAAGTAGGCCGGAATGCTGTAAATAGTGGCCATGCGTACATTGATGCGTGTCTGCATGCACGTCACCTCCCTGATAAAGTATCCAAGTTTCAGCTCGATTTCATTGAGCTATTCCGCACGCTCTTATATGAACAACTTCACACATCATCTGAATCTGGTGACATTTATGAGCGGGAGGTCAACTCACAGTACGTTGTTCAAACCGTCAATTTGGTCAGTGGCTCCAGCCAACGGCCTTCGGTCACTGCAATAGGGAATGGCACACGTACATCCTGCCCACATGTTAATTCGCGTTTTTCATGCGTGATCGCCGGGTCACCTCTACTACCTCAAACGAGGCCGCTAGCTATATTGCCGTTATGTAATTGCACAATGGTTCATGAATTCTAACCGATTTCTCGACTCAAAGTGGACAATTCAAAACAGCCATCGCTCAAACACTGCTACAGTAGTTTTCGCAATAAATAAGGAAAATCCCAACCGAGGTGCCTGCAGGATTTCAGGCCTCGCCTAAAAGCTGTCGACAACTCGTGATAAACATGATTTCTTGCGGTCAAGAGGAAGCGGGCGCGGCAGTGGGCAGCTGAGGGAGCACCCAGGAGTCGAGTACCAGACCCGAAGAGGGTACCGGGGACCCGCAGTCGCCGTGGGCTGGGAAAACGGCACGAGAAGCACCCAGTCAGCTGATCAGTGGCTTTGAGTGGGACGCCTTTGCGACTCCCTTTGCCAGATCTTTTCGTAGTACCACAATTGTCACGAATTACAGTCGGCCACTTGCTTTCGAGTAGCATTTTGGGCCCCCAGATCGAACGTATCGCTTGAACAAGAAGTCTACAAGGTCCTTATGTCGTAAAACACGCTCTGAGCACTTTTCCAGTGGAAGGGGAGCAGACGCTGGCAGCCGGAGCGGTTTACTTGGACTCTCAGGGCGTGCAAATTGAAGGCTTAAGGCTTGTGACGGAAGCGCGGAGAGACACGCGAACATGCCAAGATCTTGAATTGTGCGGGTGGTTCTGAAAATATCAGTGCCCTTGGGGACAGCCTGTGCACTTCAAAGAGCTGCACTACACGGCCGATAGATTGCTCGGACGCGAGAAAGGCTTGCTATGGGCTTCCCTCGCGGAGTGACTTACCAAGGGACTCGATGCCAACGTGCACTTCAACGGCAACGGGGGCGGGGCCCCCGGGGTAGGCCAATGCAATGGTGGGCTGATACCCCTGCACGAAAGCACCCGGACAACGTTGATGTTTGCTGTACAAGTTCGAACTCACAATCCAGCCCCCCTTGAAAGTCACTGGAAAGAGCAAAGATGAGCTACACCAAATTCCTAGTTCACTAGACTTTCCAGAAGGCTGGAAAGGCTCGATCCACCGAGAAAGCTGCAAGTACATCACGCGGCCCTGCCCTTAAAGGATTCAACAATCACGCAGAACTCAACAATCAACAATTTGGGCACGCAGAACTCATCAAGGGCTTCCAGCTGATCTAAGAGTGTTCCGACTTACCTGGTCGTAGGTGCCGTGCAAGAGCATGTCGTCGCAGGCACTGGTGATGAGCGTGCCGTTGGGCGTGTTGGCCTGGAGCTTCGGAACCAGGACGTCCGCATAGCCGTACGTGTACGCCAGGACGCCCAACTGAGAATAACAAAGAGCTGATGACACAATTGACAGAGACCTCCATCTTTCGAGTCAGATTTGTCGGCAGCATCCGTGCGTCTCAAGGTTGGTCGACAGAGGTTTGTAACAAGCGAGTCGGTATGTTGAAAAGATGGGAGCCCCCCATGGCGCCTGCTCTGTCCTTGATTTCCTTATGAGATTTCGATGAGATTTATGGGACATTTAGTCGTTTAGTGTTGGCTTCGAAGGGAAGAAAGCAGACTCTATGCTGCAAACCTTTCCGAGGAATGTTACATGCAGCAAATGCTAACCGATCTTTGCATCTTTTGACAGCAGCGACGTCTGTACTGCATTCGCGGTTGATCGCACGTGCAAGTGATATAGTGTTACTCCTCTGCATTCTGCAACATGAGTCAATTGTTATGAACACCGCCTTGACCACCGCGCCCAGCAATGATTTGGGCGCAAGAGATAGACAACGTTTTCGAAGAGCATCCAAACGTCAGCAAAAAAGAAAGGACTTACCGACGGCTGTCCAAAGCCAAGCTTGTAGGCATCGCAGATCTGGGGCAGCCTGCAAAATGTTGACCACAGCGCGTTATCTCATGCGAGCATTCAAGCACCTTCTTCAAACCTCCTTCTCATCACAGCCCATGCATCCCTTTTGAAGGGTCTCAGAATCACTACCATTTAGCCCTCTGCTTTCCGCGTTGCAACCTCGATTGAACCTGCGAAAACGTCACTCATGTATGCAGCACCTCTACCTGCTGATGGTGGGCACCAGATTGCGATCAAACCGTTCGAATCAGGTTCAATCTACACCGGGAGGCTCAGAAGCGTGCGCAGAAAGTAGGACAGAAGCTAAGCTTACCCCAGCGGGGAGTCATCGCGCTGGTAGCTGTTGTAGCAAAACGAGTTGGTGTTGACTAGAGCCAGGACAGCGCGGCCATTGTAAGCAAGAGCAGCCACGCCTGCACAGCAAAAGCTTGTGATAAGATCCGGTGACCCTGCAATATGAAAAGGCTTCTACTCCTCAGGCAGAAAAAGAGTCAACCGAAAGCCGACGTACTCACCTCAGCGCAAAGCTGGGGTCGCCATCGCTGAGTTATCCCTTGCACGACTTTCTGCGGAGGGTTCTTCAAAAACAAACTCTCGTGATTGCAAGGCGGATCATTTGATCTTCGTTATCGATTCGGCATGTCGAAGATTAGCAACGATGGAGAGAGGCGTCCTGCCGTAAAGAAGCTTCCGGAGTTGATTCGTACACCAAACATTATGCTTTCTGCTCAAATGAATTCTCTTTGACTATTACAATCCAGAAAGCGACCTTCATGTACTTGACTTACTTGGGAAGTCGCCGATCGCGAAGACGGGAGGATACGTAGTCAAAGCAGGCACCAGAGGTGCGGGAGAGTCTCCACCTGCGTCGAAACCAAGCCGTTCGTCGAACTCGACGACCTTTTTATAATCTCTGCCACACCTTCTCAATTTCCCCACACATTCGCCAACTGACTTCCTTCCCCAGCAGACGCAAGTTGTTATCTCCATCATCGGCCCGTTGGCCTCATTGGCTTCCACATCTCAGCTTTTAGGAAGACGCCCAGAGAATTGACAGCAGAGAATAACAGGCGGCTCGCTGCCATGCACCCCGCTCGATGCCAACGCTTACGGAGCAAGTAAGCAGAGCCTATTGAAGCGCCTCACCCGCGGGGTCCATGCAGAAGTGCGTCGCGTAGACCTTGGGGTCGATGCTGATCATGTTGAACGAGAAGTAGCCGCTGTATGCCGCGAATACCTGCCCCAGCATGACGGACCTTTAGAGGAGGGGTTGAAAGGGATCCTACTCCAGCAACATTGGTCGCGAGAATGGTTGATCTCACTTCACTGCGCTCCTAAATCTAGTGAAATGCAACAACATTTTAAGCATCTATTGGGAGGCTGTTCGTTAGTAGTCGCTTCCTTTTCGTTCAGGGGCTGACTCCTCCTCAAGTCCAGACTGGCAACAATCAACTCTAAATGGACGTACAGAACTTTCTATTATCAAGGCGGTTTGTACGCCCGTCCAAATAGAGAAGTCAAACAGCAGTGAACAAGACCACGGTGGCGGGACACCAGAGCAGCATTTGGAGATCCTACACTTGAAGGGTAACTGCAAAGCGGACTCTGACCCAGACTAACTAAGCTGCTTCCGCACACCGCTACCCCTCAAGCAGACCACTTCCGGTCCGTCGTACTCCCACCAAAGCTCACCTCAATACCGCCGTTGCAGCGAGAGCCGTTATATGCCGGCACGATCGTCGCGGCCAGCTTGGCGCCAGAACCCTGGCTGGGTCCCGGCCAGTTGGAGATGCACTGGGTGGACCCTACTGCGGAGGCGGCAGCCACTGAAGTGTTGCTGGCGGCGAGGGGGTTGACCTTGTACAGCTGAGCCCACACGGTGCAGGGAGTCAGCAGCCGGATGTTGTTGTCGAGCGCGCCCGCAGTGACCTGGGGGGGGGAAAAGAAACGGATGCTTGGCGGAGTGATTCGGAGGGTAGGTCTACGGAAGCATCTGTACGATGGAAGCGAAGGTGAAAATTTGGGAGCTAGAGACCTGCAGAGCGTTGCATCCAAGAAAGGCGCTGCTTCGATGCGGAGAAGGACCAAAACCAATCAGCCAGTGTCCAGATCTGTGTGCTCGGATTGTGGTGTAGAACGCGGAGGTCAAAAAGCCGTCGCAGTTAGGCTAGCTTGAACTGGCTTGAAGAAGTGTTTTAATTACATTCGTACACGAAGCTTGGGCTCTTCGAGAGGGTACTACTCTTCTCCGTTCTACACCGAAGAAACGCGTCACGAGACAATTTTGCGTCTGCGGCTTAGCCTATACTTCCACGATGATGATCGGGATAGTGCGATTCATCTGCGTTGCTATACAAGACCCTACGAGCCATTTGCGGATGCTGAATGCAGCATCGATTTGTAAGATCTCTCTTGCAGACCTCCCTTCTGATCAGACGCATCAGTCATCTTATGCAAGGTATGATCAGCGAGCACGCTTGGAAGGTATGATCAGCGAGCACGCTTGGAAGCTCACCTTGACTACTGCCAAAGACCCGTCGGACGCGCCGGGGAAGGGGATGGCCGTCACGACGCCCCATTGGACGTCAGTGGTCGAGTTCGCCGTGAACAGGGTGACGCTGTTGAAGGTCAGGCTGCCTGCGAAAAGAAACGACGTGATGCGTTAAGGATAGATCGCCTTGAAAACCGTAAGTAGTTGAAGATAAGGAGCAGCCCCCCAAATGAGGATCTGCAGGAAGCAGCACTCGCCGAATTAGAGCCATTTATGCGCAAGTCTGGGGGTCTAAGCCCACGTCCGTGTTACAGACTGAACCAACGATTGGTTTGAGAGCTGTTGTTAAGCAAAGCTGCCCTAGATGTGTTTCTTGCTGGGAGCTGGGAGCGAGTTAGCGAGTCATTCGGTTCCTAAATTGGGTCAAGTATCGGGGTCCAGTGTCCATTCGGCTTACCTGTGCTGGCGTCGAGCTTGTACGTCAGCATGGCGGTGTTGTTAGAAACCCAGATGAGCTGGTTGCCGTTGACATTGACCTGGCCTGCGGACGTCAAGATTCCGGAAGGGGGAGAGGGCAAGGCGCTGCGGCCAATCTGGGTGTAGTTCTGCATCTTTACCCTGAAGGGAAGAGCTTGAAGCTCGTAACAAGACTCGAGGGAAAGAAACCAATTGCACTTGAATTTCGGGAGCAGAGGTAGACTCGAGTTCGTACACGAGAGGTTGGAGCCAATGCTTCGAGGTCAGGGAACAATGTATGAATGTCAGCATTAAACAGAGATTCCTGTTGCAGAAAGGAATGCACTGTCTTGCCGTCAGGCAGAACCAAAGAGGTTCAAATTTCACTTTTAGGTCGCTCAAAGGAGGGCTCCATATCTCTCGTTTGCCCTCCATTTTCAGTCCACCGAAGCTGCAAGCAAGTCAGCATCTTGAAGCGCACATGAGCAACAGCCGTCATGAGTGCCTTTTTGTGTCTACGCTGCGGCACGGGCCTACCTGGGCAGCGGACCCGCCACGTTGCTGACGTCAGCAGGTGCCTGAGCAGAGTGCGCGATGTAACGGTACGTCTGGGTGTTGTCAATGTAGATGGTCACGATCGTGAAGCTTCCACTGCCCGGGATTGTCACCGTCTGCGCACAACCAGAAAGTGAGCATGACGCTGAGAAAATGAAAGCGGAAACTGAGAGCGTCCGTCGTTCCGCTCCTTTTCCCCCTGACCAGCAGACCAAGTTACGTAATATGTGGTTGTTAAAGCTTTCAGACACGGCTGTTTCTGCAACCGAGTTCAGAGTAAAAGCAGCGAGTCGACCATGAGACTCGTGCGTCAAAGAATCGAGCTTGCAGTACCTGGTTGGCTGCGAAGAGCGAGACAACGTAAAAACAACTGTGAACGAACTCGTGCGAGTACCTGGTTGGTTCCGAAGAGTGAGACAGCGCAAAAGAAGAAGCGAAGACGAACTTGTGCGAGGGTTTCAGTAGTATTATCCTAAGAGGATCCTCCAAAGACTTCCCCGGTAGATCCTCATCGGAGGGCGCACGACGTACCTGCGGCCAGTTTACGTAGCCGAGGACGCGGTTGTTGGCGGGGCTGTTGACGTTGATGGCAGTGTCGTTGGTGATCTGCACATGAACGGTCTTTTTCGACCGGGAGCCGGAGTACAGGTTGAACATGGCGGGATCCGAGTTGGTGGCGATGCGGAACCCTGCGGCAGTGAGAAAAGTTGTGCTTGATTTTCCCCACTTCTAGAGCTCAGCCCGAGAAGAAGGGAGGCGGATCTAGAGCTCTGTGGGCTTCGAAAGAAAAATGGGCGATTGGCATGTGAGTTGCTGAAGCGGGGTGACAAGAGGGACCGGCGATCGCCTTTCAAAAGCGCTTGAAGGAAATATATGCAAGTTGCCTGATTTAAATTCAAACTTTCCATGCCGAAAGGAAGTCGGCCAAATGACGACCAATGACGAAACCGCCGAATGCACTTTCATATGCTAAGAATTGAGGCGCTGAGGGAACCTGTACTGTGACCATCAAGGGTGCCTCGCTCATTGATCTCGACGTACTTGGAAAAAATGGCGTGTCTCACCTGGCACGTGATTGAGTCCGCTGCTCAGGTAGATGTCCTGGTAAAAGTTGATGCGTGGCTCGTCGATGGGCTGCGCAACAACATTATTTTCGTTAGTCCAGAGCAATCAGATCTAGGGTGGTCATAGTTGCTGAGAAGTCGCTCAGTGACATGCCATGAACAGGAGACGCTCGGAATGAATACCTTCGATTTGGTAAAATTAGATTTGGTAAAATCCTAATACAAACGATCTCGATCATCAATCTGACCCTTCGGTGACGTGCTTGGATCAGTACTTTAACATCACTTGCTTTTAGAAAAAGGGGTCGCATAAAAGATCGAAGCGGGAAGAGCCAGCGCCCTAAGCGACTCTCCATGGCAAGGGTCAACCCTTCCAGACGCTGCATCAGCATCTTCAAAGCTCTGCGAAACGTTGCAGAGTTGCCTGAGATCGGTCTCCAGTTGCTTGGATTTATCTGAATGTGAACCAAGGACGACAGTAAAGTTGCTAATTTGTCGCAAGGTTTGGAAGTATCCGCTCACCTCGTACAGTACGAGTGGGTAGGATGATTGGCCGAACTTAAAGAAAGAGTTGTTGGCAAACTGCTGCCATTGCGACGTCAACTCGCCACGATTCATGACCTGTACACGACGAAGAGATCCACATATCCACTTGCGCATTCACACAGGAAATACTGAATGAAGGGGGTTGAGCTACCTTGGAGCTCTGTGACCCCACCAACGCACGAACGGCTTAGATCCAATGGTCAACTATTTTCAAGGATGACCTTTGCGAATTCCGAAGTAAGCAACATTAAAGCTAGCATCGTCAGTTGCTCGGTCAGTTCTCCTGAAAGAAGCCAAGCTTGAGACTAGCTCCCATTACCTGGAATCGGTCGTCACCGTTTGAGGAAGTGTTGGACTGCGCCTGATTGTCCAGCACCCCTCTGTCCCAGCTCGACACCTGCACACTCAAAGCGGAAGCTCTAAATGGACACAAAACAGCAGCAGCTAATCTACCCTCACCGTCTCTAGAATCAAAAATGGATTTCCAAGCTTCTTACACCCCGTTTTGCAGCGCAGCAGAGCCCAGCCGCTGTCGGCGCAGAGCGAGTTTTCATCAGACAAGCAATCAGAGCTAGATGACATTATAGAAGACATGCTGAGTACAAGACCAACAGCAGCAAAATCAGCCGGCCTTCGTCCAAGAACACCCAGGGCATCGCCTCACCCAAGGCCGCCATCTGTCAGCCAGGCAGGATGCATTGCCAGAGCTGCAGGAACCAGCACACAGTTAGTCTTAAAAAAGTAATGTAACGTGACAGCACACATCAAGACTTCTTTTGTGTTGAGATGACCCCAGAGTTAGCACAGTGAGCATGTACACAGGAGCGCATATGCAAGCAGGTGGTTTGTCGTATGATAGACTCACGCCGCAATCTGGTCGATGTAGAACTCAACATTCAGATTGTTATCCTGGATGACCTTGTTTGCAGCATTGAAGAAGTCGTCAAACAGTGCTATGTTGTTGTTCGAATCGGTGGAGTTGTCACAAGGGCTCTGCAATCAGACACAACGTCTTCAGGAAGGAGCACGTTGCATACGTCATTGTGCTGTTTAAATCTAGGAACCTATATGTTTTTATTAAGTAGAGGTTCCAGCTCACAGATGAAGCCAACAAGGTAGTTACCAACAGATAGACCACGAATCCACTTTTCGATCGGATGGAATTTCAGCTGACTGTACAAGCAACGTGCACAAACAGCTGCCCTCAATGTCCTCTAAACAGAGGCCTGAGGAGTTGCCACAAACCGACGTCTTGCAACTTGGAAAAGTGAATCCTGTCAGTTAAGGTGCACTTGGTAGCGAGACCGTCAGCAAATATGAAGCTGAGACAAGCTCCAGCTTCCAGATGAGCTAGAGCGGTGATAACAGAAAGGCAGACTCCCAGGTGTGAACCTCTTGCAGCAGCCAGAAACGGAATAAGCTTCACCAGCATGAGCAGATCAGTGCTTCACCTTAGGCGTCCGTCCACCCCAGTTGATGATGAAGTTTCGGAAAGTCATAGCAAAGTATTGACGGGGCTTGTCCATACTGATGAGCGGCTTGTTTGCAGGGTCAGCCAGCCAGTTGAGGACGTCTGTGGTGCTGTTGGGACCTGGTGAACAAGGCCAAAGAAACAGCCTCATCACAGTTCTTATCGCATACAAGCAGGCACTTATGAGAAACCAATGACTTAGGACAGCGCAAGGTGCTGTAAAGCCAAAGCATGAGTAAGTGGGTCTACACTGAATGCGGGGTTGCTGCATGCCTGCCTGGCATGTAATATTGGACATACGCTTGACTTGTTGTTTTGGTGTGAAATTCGGCACCTCGGTGTCACAAAACACCTCAAGACCTGATCAGAACACCCTGAGGCCACTGCCATTGATAAAGCTGTTGCCCAAGCAGACTTACCATCTATATCTCAATTTGGTAAGCTTTGCATACTTCAAAGCAATGCCGTCCCAGACAGCGAGGAAAAGAACAGCATGACAGAATACAGAAGTAGCATTTATACGTCAAATATTTGAGGTCAGGCTCAGCCAGAGAGTACCCACCCCTGTCCCCAAAATTGTAAGCAGTCTGGCTGTGCACGAGGAGAATGCATCCCCTTGGGTCGCTGGGATCTGCCACATTGGGCTGGTTTTGGCACCAGACCTGGCGATACAGGCATGCAATGCTGGGGTCAGGAGAAAGGACTGCTTTGCTTCCTTTCGAGGAAGCTGTTGAGTATTGCAGCAGAGTAAGAATCTCTAATAATGGCAACGTGACCCTTTTACGTTTGCTTAGGAGAACTGATAGAGGAAGTGAAGTCTTTCGAAGCAGAATGGAGACTAAGAAATGGCAGAAATTGGCAGGACGCTAGCTGCAAAAACTCCTAATTCGGAAGATTGTTTCAAAGTAGAGGAGATGTTGACTAGAAGGGACAAATACCCTCTGAACAATGAAGGCCTTTTGAGGGGAAGGCTCACCTGGGGCAGGAAGTTGAAGTCCACCTTCCACACAGTTGTGCCCTTGATGATGTCAGAGCGCCACTGCCTGATGTCATCACGGCCATGAGCCTGTTTGGAGGTGCACCCATTTCCTTCATATAATATGCAAAGCAGCAAAAGAATGCAGCTCAGGAAGCTTGGCTTCTCTTCAAGGCGCAGTAAGGGGTGTAAAGTGGAGCTTGTTGAAGAGAAGTTGTATGATCACTTTTTACGCAAGTTGGAGTTATCAGAACACTGAGCTTCCAAAGTTCAGTGATTTCCACAAGGTCTTCTTGGTTGGTAAGCATCGAAGAAGACTCTTCTGCACCTATTAGCAAATTTTGATCTGACAAAAAAACGTTTGCATTGTCATGAGGGGTACAAAAAGCTGAAAGCAGGAAGATGGAGTCAATTTAGGACATGCACAGCTTTTGTTCATAATCACCTGATAGGAGATTGTGTCAGGGTAGACAGTTTGCTGTGCAGCAGCACTGGAAAAGCATGCTGCTAAAGCCAATGTCACCAGCAGCAGAGCGGACAGACTACGACCTGCCATGGTGGTGCCGGTTTACCTTGGACGTTTGCAACAATTGGAAGAAGTTAGATCAAGCCCTGGTCCTTTCAATCTACGTCCTGAGGTACTGTAGCAAGTTCTTTCTCGATTGGAAATCCTATTTCTTCATCAACAGCGATCAGCTTGATCACGACAGAGAGCTCGAGCTTGCCAGCTGCTTACAGAGCTGTTTGCTATTACAACCTTCTGCGGCTCTGAGAGCTCCTACCTCCTCTTCAATTGCATGGATTGGTAGTTCAGTTGCTGCTGCAGGCCAGAAGAAGCTATTGGCAGTTGTGCATGCTCTGACTGATGAGAGAACTTGAGCCTTTCCAGTGGTGCGCTTTTAGGATAGGTACTAGTACGTACTTTGCCAGCGACACATTCTTTGGGATAGAGGCATCTTTGGATTGTATGAACCGATAAACTGGCATGCCGCATACGGTACCGCTTTGAAGCGGACGCAACTCCCCAAGATGAGACCCCATGAAAGTCGGCATGTGTCTGGAGGAGCCCGCTGTGTGACCTACTCTGCAATGTGCATGACTACGGTTACCTAGATTCCTGAATCCAATATCGGAATATACAAAGCAGTGCGTTGGCCAAGCCAACTCATTGTCAGAAAGTGAGTGCCACAGCACCTCAAATGTCAATGATACGACCGGAAGCAGCGACCGTGAAGAGATCCCCACGGCCTACGAAACCTGACAACGCCAATGGCCTGGCACCTAATGTGCTCTGAACTGCTCGCGCGGCTCTATGATGGATAGCTCTGGCCTGACTGA